CAATGCATAATGTATGCATTTACAAACACACATATATTAATGTGTACAATCACAAAACAGAATGAAAATTAACACAGATTATCTGTATAGGATGTGTCTATTTATATGTGTATATGTTATGTGAAAGGTTGATGCAGAATAGTATTAGCGCCTGTGTCTATGCAAAACGGTAAGTGATTTTCACTCTTATTAAAATACATAGTCTACTAACTCATAGGGAGTCATGACTAAATTAATGTAATTATATGTATTAATTTTATTTTTAGCTATATTATTATAGCTTGATTTCACACATTATATTGGTACAAGTATGGAATTTTGAGCATGTGATATCGGTAGCCCAAATTTAGCAGGCTGACCATTGATATCAGGTGTACATCGGCCGGGAATCGAACCCTGAACCCTGTGCATGGTTGACGAGCGTCCTAACAGCTGTGCCACCGACGCACATAAAGTAGAAATTCATAACCAAATTTCTAAGAGATCATTTTTAGGCAAGCTATTTAACGAAATGTCTTTCACCTCCACGAGCAAAGACCTCAAAAGTGTACCATTTTCCAGTTGAATTTTACTTAGAAATTGATTGTCTAATTGTAATCCACTCCATTTTCTAGTTGTCAATTAGTCTAGTTAACGACATATTAGAATATAACCCACCTGGTGCCTAGTAGCTAAAAACAACTGGTGAAGCTATGCTGTTTTGAACTATTTATATTTTGAAGATACACCTTGTTATTATTTACCTGCGGAGAAGGCGTTATGCTTCTGTCTAGTATCTAGATTTGTATAAAAATACGATTCCATATAATCTGACTGTCACTGGATTATGATTGTTAGATGGTAGAAATTCATCTGAACTAATGGCTCCATTATATTATTATTATTATATACCCTACCGATCATCCAAATTTCTCTATATTTGATTATATGGAGATTTTATCTCTAATACAGTTCAAATTATTAATATACATTTACCCGTAATCCGCTAACAGTTTTCATATCACAGTAATTTTATGTACTTCAAATACATTAAAATTTGTCTCAATGTGTTTCTAGTAGGTTTTAAATTCTGTTTTCGAACTACCATAAAGAAATTGTTTCTTTTAACTTAGATGGTACTCTTTTGTTCATGATAAGGTATCGTCATCCATGAATTATTAATATACTGTTGTACGAAAGGACATTTTCTCGATTATTGAGAAAGTCAGTCACTGTAATAATGCTTCATGGAGGGTAGCTAACTTATCCAACTTCAGACTGCCTTATACAAGGAGATGATATGCTCTGTGGCTCTAATATTAAGTATTTTAGGCTGAAGGGTATGGTGCTAACAGGAAGTTGTCAGGCACACATCATTAATTCATAACATCAGATTACAGCGTGAAAGTTTAGGTTGCCTCATTTTGGCTTCACCTAGTAGATAAAAAAAGAAAAAAAACAACGTAGAATTAATGTAGTGTTTTCGGAAGAAGCAAAAAGGATAAAAGTGTAGAAGTGTGATAATGAAGTCAAGTTAAAGATAAGTTGTGAATGCATCAACACTATCGCTACCTACTGTGAGCAATACAGTGTTTAACGATAGATTTCCATGGTAATGTGAATCTCATAGTCAGACAATAGCTTCGTGCATCTCTACTGTATATTGGTCAAGATATATTTCAAACTGTTTCTAATTTCTGTAAAGTAGGTCACTGACGTTTACAGAAGATAAATATGTGTAACACATGTACAATTCATAATAATGAAGACTTTCAACTTTCTCGATTCAAATAGGTCGCTTAATAATAACTCAATATCTAATTTCTATGCTGTTTAAATGATAGTCTGAGAAACGTGGTTAGTGTTACATGGATTATATTGGTCAGAAAATTACACTAAACTGATACTTTTTAAATGTTTTACTGCAATAGGTCAGGAAAATGGACTCTGGCAGCAAAATGCAAACATTGTGATTCATTATTCATTCTGTATACGTGTTAGTTTACCCAAGGTTTCGAAAGCAAACAATAAATTAGGAAGTATCGCCTATGTTCCTTGATCGTTATAAACTGTCAGAGAAAAACTATATTGTTTGCCATTATTCTGATGTGTAAGATGCAGTGAATCATGTAGAAATTTTTTCCATCAAATGTTTTCCCATTAATGTTTGAAAAACTGAAATTCTGTTGCTCGAGTGCTGTTTTCGTTGTGTTTTGATCCTATTGCCATCATTAAAACAATGTTAAGTCTATAGTATAAGATCCATTTAATAAAAGAATATTTTCCTGTCCTATCCTGTCACTGACATTAACAGTAACTATTAAAATTTAATGTGAGTCAGTGGCATAGCGCAAGAGTCTCGCTAACCACGCAGGTGGTCGGGGTTCGATCCCCGGCCGACGCACTGCTTTACCCCGCTAAGCCAGTAATAAGACTGGTAAAGAGGGAAGGTTGGGCATGAGGCTAGCAACCCCATTCCATAGAAATAAACACCCTTGCTATCGAAAATTCGGCACTCTAGCCTGAAGTCCTATGTTCCACTGGGAACGTAAAAGAATAAAAATAATTAAAATTTGATGTAGCCGTTGACGGTCAATGAGCTAATAACTTCAAAAACTATGGAAAAATAATTTATCTTTGTTTTAACTGATTAAAAATGCCCATTAAAATTTCAGAAGAATGGATACTGAACAAGGAGTACTCTTTCCGATAGCTTCATCTCAGGCTCTACAGTTATATATACATTATAGTAAATGAATGAATTGGTGTTATGAACAACATTGATGTTGTTTAAATAACAGGACTCCAAGTGAACGTAGACAAGACGGAAGTGATGGAAATAACCAACCAACCAACAACAACAGCAACATCCAGCGTCAATCATCTTCAACGGGAGGGATTTGAAGGGCTCACTTCATTCACTTATCTAGGGAGCATTGTCTCAACTACATGAGAACGGACAAGGATGTCAAATCGAGAATCGGGAAGGCGAACGAGAAACACATTCATCAACCTGAAATCAATCTGGAAATCTTCGTCACTCAGCATCAACAACAAAATTCGGTAGGATTTTCAATACAAACAGCGTCAAGTCAGTCAGTTGTTCTATACGGATCAGAAACTTGGCGGCGGGCGGGTCACAAAGAATATTTCCAACAGCCTGTTGCAGACCAGACCTTTATCAACAACTGTCTTCGCTGGATCTATACTGAAGATCAGATGGCCGGGCCGGAAAGAATCACCAACAAGAAACTATGCCTGGGAACAAACAAAACAAGAACCAATTGCCCAACAAATATGCAGGAGAAAGTGGAGACAGATCGGACACTCGCTGAGGAGGCCGCTGGGTGACATCGCTTGCGCGTCAGGCCATTGCTCGAGTGGAACGCGAAAGGGAAGCGTGAGTGGGACGTCCAAGGATGACATGGAGGAGATCGTGTGAAGAGAAGTATGGACTAACATGGATGCAGGTGAAAAGTAGAGCAGAAGACAGAAGCAAGTGGAGACGTGCATTTGAAGCCCTATGTTCCACTAGGAACCCAAGGGAGCAATAATAATAAATAACATCGAATCAATAATATTGCAGCTCAATAGCATCAACATAAAATAAGCTGATTATCAGAGAAATTAGGAAATATAATAATATAAATTCATGAATTTGCAGTCTCCACTGAAGGGCCGACCAGGGCAGTAGTAGTGCTGGCTAGACTTGCTTCTTTTGCACAAAGGCACTGGTTGTTTCACGCGAATGGCGATAGCCTCTGCTGTTTGGAACATGAGGTGCTTCCATGTTTTTGGCAATTCATTTAGTACCCGGTAGATGACAGAGAAGGATTCTTCAATGCTGGCTGGCTTTGTGGTCATTTTGAACCAGATGGTCTAATATCGAACTGTTGACGGTTTTTTACTACACCTTTACTTAGCCATACTGGGAGATGTTCCCGAGTGAGCGCGAAAAATCAAGTTCCTAGAGCAACGGACAATATAACTCGCTCCACAGGCGCAGTTGAATTGGTAGATACAATTTGAAATGGCCAGTCTAGGTACTTCATCTTTCAGTCGAGGTAGCTTCATCGGTTGTGTAGAGAATAATACGTGTAATTCGCCAGCATTAAAAGTTCTTTGAGCTGATTTTCTTAATTTCTTCGTAATTATCTTGCTTGTTATATCGTCCATGAATTGTAGTCGTATATAAAGAGGCTTCATGTTTACAGATAGTGTGTAGTCCTTTTTCGCTTTCTTTGTCATGGGTTTCTTGATAAATTTTTCGGGATAGCTATTTTCGACCAAAGTCTCATATACAATGCTTAATTTATCTTCGATTACTTCTTCTGAGCATATAGCTCTTACTCTGTGGCTGAGGGTCCCTACTGAATTTCTTTTGTACTTGGTAGGAGCGAAGCTGTGAAAATGTGTATATTGTCCTGACCATATACTTTTTCTATGCAAATTTCTTTTTATGGTACCATCTGGTTTTCTTGTAAGTAGGACATCCAGGAAGGCAATTCTGTCTTGGGATTCCTCTTCGCATGTGAATTTCACAGCCGAATGTACTTCATTGAATTCAGTAATTATTGTACTTTTATCAGAACCATTATCACAAAGAATTATCCTTGTTTGTTTGTGGTACTCATTAAATTTATTATCGATTAAAGAATAACAAGGTTATTTCTAAATCTTTTAATTTCGTTTATCAAGACCATTTCATTTGATGCCAGAATAAGGCATAATATATGCTGTTTTTATTATTATTACTATTATTTCAAGCAAATCTATGTTACGTAACACTGTAAATCATGCTATGTTATATGATTGGTATGCAAAGATTTAAAATTTAGTTGGTTGGTTAAGAAATCCTTTGAATATTAACACTGGACATGTTTTGCTGACTATTTTACGTGTTTAGAGATGCACACACACACACACACACGCACACTTACACCGAACTTTTATAGTAAGAAATATGCCGTGAAATAATAAATTACTAAATTTATACCGTTTAACTAACATTTCTATTTTAGAGAACTAATCGAATTGTACTAGCACCCATTCAGTATAAAACACGTGAGTTATCTTTCGCTAATTTTACATTTAAAAAAATGATCTATTTTGTATTCATGAATCTAAGTTAAAGTCATAATTTTCAATTTGTGCTTTAATTTTTATTTTTTAAATGACACGAAACATTTTAAGAAATGCGTAATAATGTTATCTTAAAGATAGAAGCTCACTAAAAGAAGTTAGACCCTGGATATTCTAATAAGTTTATTAGTATTATTATTATTATCCAAGCTTAGGTTTTCCACTATGGAGCTTTTCATAACAATCCATTTAGAGGCAATTCTCAGTTGATTTCCTGAAAAAGTAAAAGCTAGTTTATTTGTCCTGGATACTTATAGAGTTCATAAGAGAAGAGAAGATTAACAGAGGCGCCAATGCAATAAAAATTTTTGTAAAAAAAACGTAATGTAACTAGGCAAATTATTCACGAAAGGAAGGTATTAATTACCAACCATCTAATAATAATGCAAAGTTTACCGCGATAGCCAGTCATCTAGCCTGGTCACCTACCGTATTGCAAGCATGACCGATATAATAAGTTTCTTGCCAATGAAAATTTGGCGGAGTAACATCAAAAAACTCATCAACATCGCTCACCACTGCGGGGTTCATACTCCCTATTGAGTCATAAAAAGAAGATTTGTTTGATATCCCAATGGGGAATATTAATTTGATATGATTCAGTCAGCACCCTTAAGAACTACGCATATAGTACTGTTTATATGCTAGCAACCAATAAATGGGGTTTTTTACTTTTGAAAATTTTTATTCTTTTACTTCCCAAGTGGAACATAGGGCTCTGAATTTTCATTATCCGTGGTGTTATTTTTATGGGGTGGGGTTGCTGCCTTCACCTCCAACCCTTCCTCTTCAGACTTAGTGAGAATTAGGAGTGTGTCAGTCAAGAATCGAACCCCGGATCATTTGAGGCATTGTTGGCGAGCATTTTACCGCCAAAACACTAACGCTAGTGGGATTATTTATTTTAAATACACTTTGAGAATGTGAAAAATATAACTTTCATATATACTTGCTTTTATTTAGTTGATAATTTTTGTGAAATTGCTGGACTTTGTCGAAAGCTTGTTTAAGTTATGCAGTATCACAGGATTCCAAAAGTGTACAATTAATGAAATCTGAGGATAGATTATGACTTTTTACTTCACACAGTAACATCGACATTCAGCATAATTTACTGCTTTTTTCTAGCACAACAACTCTATCATAGACTATGGGTTATAATTTCATTTGTATGTAATATATCATGGTATTATCGTGAAAAAATATAAGCACCTTAAAAACAGAAGCGTGTAGTGGATTGTGACTTAGTGCGGAGTCCACTGTATTCAATTTTTTCGAGATGTGTCATTAGGGACTATTTGTGTCTTTGTAATCCTCATTTCTCTTACAAAAATCCGTGCATTCCAACTCACGATTTATTTACAATACATGGAATATTGTAGTATACAGTAAATATCATACAATTATAAGGTCTTATAACAAACTTAACCCTCAGTTATAGCTAACTGGTCAGTCTCTTACTAACTCAACTATTTTTAGGTGTTGATTTGATTTTGTGGGATTCATTTGTTCATGAAGTAGGTTTTGATAGCAAGGGAAATCGGCCAGAGGATTATTAAAAATCAGGGAACACCCAACAGGTGTTTCGTTTCTGAATGTGGTCAAAACCCTTAGAAACTGAAAGTTTGGAAATTAATCCACGTCGTTAATAGCTGGCTACAGTTAGAACTTTTAGGAGTTGTAGAAAAAAATTATGACCAGTGAGGTATAAAGAGTTGGGTGTGATGACAAGTATTCAGAGAAAACGACCGATGGCAGTGGGGCCATACACGCATTGACAAAAGTTAAAATTCTTGTGCGAATGAATTCCAAATGAGTAGCCAGATCGTAACATGCTAGCCTCGAAACCCGAAGGTTGTGGGTTCAATCACTGGTGGCGTCATAATTGCGTACTATTGGAGAATTCCAAATTTGGGAGAAACAGCTTTCGAGTACTTCGTTGCTTCCAATCGTTCTCTGAATGATATCGCTTTATCACGGGATCTATCTTGAAAGTTATTTCTCCTAAGTATTTCAACGCTTTTTATGTAAATTGGTTTAGCTAACTGAATAGGTAGAGTGATTTCTATTTTGAATTCTGTTTTTATCATGTAAATCTATGATTCTGTTTTTACATAGAGCAGGCATGTATACTGAAACATGAGATTATAAAACACTTCCCTGACTTAAGTAAGCTGTAAGTTGTTATCACCTTTCTTCACTAAGCTGATTATCGGTGAGCTAAACTATACATTGTGCGCTTTGTGCTGATGTTATATGCATTTTACAGTATTTTGTTTGAGTAAGAACGAGTCGAGATGTCTACAATTTGTAGATCTTTGAGTTGTATTGATTCTCTCAGTGTCTCAGATATGTCAAAATATCAGTTTCGTCATCCAAAGTGGTATTTCAGACAATCACACATTCAAGGGATCACCAAATGAACGAGAACTAAATAATCGCATTGCACAGTAGATAGATATATTTCTTCTGAAAGTATCTTAGTATTTGATTAAATTCACCTCGTTCAATCACAATTGTGTAACCATCTAAAGGTGGTTGAGTGAAACTGTTTCACACCTATGATTACAATAATTCCATGAAAACCATTACATTAATAAAATTTAAGGATATAACTTGGGATGTATATAAAAATGAAACTTGGGCACTGTGGCTGAGTATAATTCCACCACTGAGTAAATTTATTTGATTTAAGCAGACAGTCATACCTTACTACTCACTACTGACATTTCTAGCAAGATTGATCGCTCATATCAAATCAAGGTTCTCACATAACTTTCCCGCCTCATTTATATAATTCCATTATTATTTAGCCTTTGATTTTATTGATAGCAACAATATTTCCCATATCTCTGGCACTAGTGTTGCACCATTCCAATTGCACGTGCTAGGTATAGATTCGAGTAAATAGGCTTCAGTGATCAACTTCTACCTCCATCTTCCTATACCACCTTTTAGAATTGTAGCTCTGTCCCGGCCTACTGTGTGATTGTGTCATTGTGATTGCTGCATTTTTCTCCAAACTAATCATCTTTGTGCGGTCAAGCATCCTTCATCTGGTTAAATTCTTACTTCCCAGTAATCTGACTAACCCCAATCCACTGGTTTGACCTATATAGTTGACTTCACAGTCATTGCAAGTTACTTCCTAGATTACATTATTTTGTCTGATTGGGGCAGTAGGGTTCCTGAGTCTACACAGCTTGTCCCTGAGTGAGTTTGTAGGTTTAAATGCTACCTTAATTTTAGACTTTGTTAAGATTGCTAAATAAAGTTTTAGATGTCTTAATATAGACCAACTTAACAACCAATGAAATATCAAATACAAACTTTCCTGACATAAAAATGGTTCAAGTTCCAGTAAGAAGAACTTCACAACTGTCAGCTTAATTATTTTTTACGCTTGAAGTATTATCCAGTTTAATAGTTAAGTTTCTTAGTTGTACTGCTTATATTATCATGGGACTCGTAGCCACAAGATTTATACGTCATTGTAACAACCTAATAGCAGTTCATAATGGGAACAATTTTTATTTTCATCACTTCGTTAATTATTCAGGCTATTTTTGACAGTTTAAATAAAATAAAGAAACAATGTGAAAATTAACAACCTCTTTATCAGAGTTGGAAAAACAACTCTTTTCAGCAGCTGTTATTGCAGCTAATATGAAGTAGCTGGCGTTACTGTTCAAAAGTACAATGTAAACAAACTTCTCATAATGTATATTTTTCTGATTTTAATTATTTTAAAAAGGTAATCACTGATAACATCTGAGTCGGCTTTTACATGCAGATACCACTATCCTTTTTGTGCTTTTACGTCAAACACAATACTAGTTACCGACGCATGGTTTTATCAAATGTAAATCTAGTACCTTGCAATAGGGGCCACGGAACTACCTGAATACATGGAATAGATTTTATAAAAATATCTGTTTTCCTCATCGAACTGTATCAGAGAAGTATATATGTGCTTGATGTATCTCTGCTCCACTTTCTTTGAAAGTTCGCTTAAATAGGAAAAAGAATAATCTCATATGCCTAAAGAACCTACAACATACCTATTTTCGATCTGCCATACCTGTCTCTTTCAAAGGTAATTAGATATGCAGAATGTTATCTTATATATGGACGTCAGCAGGATAGGTTGTTGACCATAGGTTTTGCGGTCAACCTTCTTTCCCAGAATGAGAAAGCACAGTGCGTCGGTGGCACATTGGTTAGGACTCACGCCGACCATGCGAGTAGTCCGGGGTTCGATCCCCTGCCGACGCACATCTGATATCTATGGTCGGCCTGCAAAATTTGGGCTACCGCTATCACATGCTGAAAATTCCTTACCTGTACCAAAAAATTACGGTGTGGAATAAAGTTGTAATCCAAAGAAATTGGCCGACTGGCTGTTAACCCCAGGAAAACACCTTACTTTTGTCATACCGTTAATTATACGAAGTTGACCTTAGATGCCGCCATAGTGTAAACGTCTTTGTTTCAATTCATTTAAATCTAAATAAAATCTTCAGTGTGATAAGAAAGCTTCAGCAATCATCGTTTCGGCTAGTAGGGTAACATGGAATCACGTTTTTATTTATAACTGAACATTTCCGCATATCCTTTGTTACTGTTATCTGAGGTAGAACTTTGTATCCTGACAAGTTTCGCTAATTAGTCACTGATCTCATTTTAATTCGGAAGAATTCAATAAACTTATTTATTAATACCTATAGGCTCAATAAATTCATTCTGAAGGTAGAATTTGTTTCTATAGCAGTTTACACGTTTTGATTTACACTTCATTGAGACTGTCTTGTAAATTTCGAATTCTATCAATAGGAATACATGATAAGATATGATAAAAGTATACTGATTCTATCCAGTGTATACTGCATATAGAATACAAGAATTCACTAGCTGCCAATGCTTCTAAATTTCAGTAGATATTAAGCGGATATAGTACAAGAGTTGGCTCTCGTGACCCAAGTGGTCTAGTGGATAACGGTTTGGCGTTTGAAACTATAGGCACTGGGTTTGAGCCACGGTGGGAACATCATCACTCACTGAGAAATGCAGGTACATCCAGATGAAGAGTCCCAAATAGGACAAAATGCGCATCCTGGATTCCACTGCTAGCCACCATCCATCAATTATATAGTACACATGTTAACCAAATATTAATGTAGTATCATAATCACTTAGATCTGTTTTAATGATCCCCTTGATATAGGGCGTGGCTTATTGGCATAGGCAGTTGAAATTTAGCCAATGGGTAGTATTATCAGTCCTTTGAAGACAAGTGTGGCTCTTAGCCTGGTTCGTGAAAGGTCTGTTCAACGCAACTGAGTGTAAACAGATACAAGAAACTGGCTGAACGTTTTGATACTTACTTTGGACCAACTGCTAATAAAATGTTTAACGAATAAAGCAGAAAATAAGTTTTTGTGGTTAAAGTTATTTCTATACGGAACAGTTTATATGGTTAAAGAAATAAAAGTTATTTCATGCCAAACTGTTTGAATATAAGTAGAAAATAGTTTTTAAGTTCATCGATAACTAACAGGTACTGATCGTAGTCATTGAATGTACTTGAGGACTCATCCATTCAGTGTTCTAAGTCCTTTTATAAGAGAGAAGTCAAAGAAAAAGATCTGTAACAGAAATCCAGAAATAAGCATGTTAGAAGATTCTGAAAAAGGAGGTAAAATTACTCTGTGGGTATAGAAAGGATAGATAAGAGTTTCGAGGAAACATAATGATTATCTAAATAAAATGATCAGAAACGTTCTTCAAACCCTTTCTTGACTAAATGGTTGCTAATTTAATTTGTTGTTGCCAAACATTAAAGAAGATCACAATGAAGGCTGTTGAGGTCAAATAATAAATGGGATTGAGAGGAATGAACTCTATAACTCTAACCAAGTTTGAGATAAAATTTTATGCAGTTGTAAATAAATCTGGGCTTCGTACTTCACGAAATTGGTAGTGAGGCTTCCTCTCTAGCAATCCATTTAAAGCTGAATACTAAATAAGTTTGTATTGAGCACTGGTTTAATCGGTTCTGCAACAGATTCTCTGAAAGCTTTCGAGATCTTTACATAACATGACCTTACGAATTACTTGACACTGTTTTTATCATTATCATTGTTAATTAGTCTCTTCTAATTATAAGTGAAATCTCTTTTCTCCTCTTGAGAAATTTAAACCAACTAGCAATCACTTGTCAACCAATAGTCAACCTAATTATTTCTTTTCAATACAATCATTACTTTACTATATCCTATCCTCAATGATTAAAAAGATCTTTTTTCCAGTTTTTAAAATATTCACAGATGTAGATGTTTTTACAATCGTAAAAAAATACTTCATTTGAAACAACAACTCAAGTTTAAAGGGATCTTAATTGTTTTAGTCATTCTGCTTATTCAAATTAACAAAGTGTTTTGTGAATGATGAGTGGAAAAAACCTGTGGTGTTTACACGTCTAGAGTTATTCCTGTTCTTCATAAATAGTAAATCTTCAGTTTTATTATTTGAAATAGACTTTTATCCTTCATTCACTACACCAATTGAAGTAACAATCGGCTAATCCTGTTTGTATCCTTATTTCTATGTGGTATCTTTGGAGTCGATGTTAATTGACAAAAATTAAATAGTAATATACCTACGAGTATGTATACTTCAAAAGTTGAGAAGTATGCAGTTTTCACTTAAATATTGATTACAGAGCTCGCTGACACAAGTTTTATAGCATGACGCAAAAGGAGAAAGAGAGTGAAACAAAAATCATCAACTGAATTCATATTTATTGTGAGACAAGTTATTTTTCTTCTCTTTTGAGTACCGACTGAGAAATGGGCTTTCAGCCTTCAGACCAAATACTGAATTACAACAGCAACAATCCAATAACACACAAAAAGAATTGCATACAAACACTATTCAAGAGGGTCAGGATTCATTGCAGCACTCCCACCTTAAGGAAAATTGAAGAAAAATATCTCATGGATGTCTTCCAAAAGAATGAATATCCACGGAATTTCATTAAAAAGTATATACCCACAAGCCAACCTATCGAACCAATAGCCCCCAAGGAAAGGACAAAGAAAATCGCTCTACCATATATAAAGGATTTCTCAGAAATCACTGCAAGACTCTTCAAACCTTTGAGAATTGACGTCATACCTAAACCAACGAAGTCACTTCACTCAGTTCTATGTCAACCACAAGACTCAAGAGTGAAAGAAGATAAAACCAATATCATCTACAAAATAAATTGTAACAACTGCGAAAAACACTACATTGGCCAAAGTGGACGTCCCCTTCGTCTTCGTATCCACGACCATAAGCTAGCCGTCAAAAGACATGATATTCACTCTCTCATATCACTACATACAGAAAACAACGGACATCAATTCGACTGGCACAACCAACGTTCAAATATTAGACAGAGGAAACAACAAGAATGCTAGAGAGTTTTTAGAAGCGTGGTATTCCATAAGAATCATCAATCAATAGACACATCGAGATAGACGAAATTTATCAACCGATAAGAAAGAAACCTCATACACAAAGGGTGAAAGTTCAAGTCAAAGAAACTATCAGTTATAATACAAGTAACCTAGAAGGTGTGAAAACACGAAATCAACCAATCACGGCGTTGAAGGTCACCAGGAGAGATGATTAATAAACTCGTGGAGAAACCTAAAAGCTCACTTCAAATTGAAGTATGCGCTGAAGATGTCACCTAGTAGGGTGATGAAAGCTTCGCAAATCAACTATCCAGCTCAGAGAACACAACCACGTCAAAAGCTTTGAAGTTCCAGCAGTTGTCATTTTGTTTTGTGTGTCGGTGGCACAGCGGTTATGACTCTCGTCGATCATGCACATGGTCCGAGGTTCGATCCCCTGCCAATGCACACCTGATATATATGGTCGGCCTGCAAAATTTGGGTTACCGAGATCACAAGCTGAAAATTCCATACTTGTAGCAAAAATACAGTGTGGAATCAAGCTGTAATCAAAAAATAACAAAATTTACTGGTTGAGTTTGCCAGTATCACGCTGAGCCTTCCCTTTTTTTCTAGGTTTAATACTGACTGCTAAACCGAGAGAGTTTTATGAGTACGTCGGAAGGGAATCAAACCCCGGACCACATGTGTCGTTGGTGAGCTTTCTACTACAGATCCACTGAAGCAGCTTGATGAGAATAAGATTTTATGTGTTGCATTTCAACAGCATGCCGTAATTTAAGTTCACTGCCATATGGAATAATTATTAAGCTTTAGTATCTTTAATACGTTTATTAACTTTCTAGTGGCAAAATCAGCCATTTTGAATCTTCTCAATGTAAGATTTATTCATTATTTAACTTTGAGTGACTTTACAGGTTGTAGTATCAATTTATGAAAATAATTATTTAAAATATTTTCTCTCTATTCGTCACCTATGAAATGAAATTCATAAAATGTTTCTATACACACCCATTTGTATAAAGTAGTACAAATAAAACTTAATGTCTACTGTCGTAAATCACCCCCAGGTTGTTAAAAACCTTTTGATAAATGTCGACATAAATCATGTCAGATAATCATGTATGCACATATAACTTAACTGTTAGCCGAGTACTACAGGAAGACAAACTAAGTTTCACTTTATAACTAACTATGCAGCCATTTTATGTGCGTGTATAGCGTTATATAATACAATATACAATGTAAAATTTCCTTTTCAAATTTAACCAATATGTACTTGCAGCTTTGCTTTGATAATTCTTGTCAATGAAACACAATTCTTTGCGGGTTTTTTTTTCAATTTTTGTAGTCTTGTCAGAGGAAAATCAATTTCATTGTCAAATATTTAAACCAAAACTATCTGACAGTCGAAAAACCTTACATAGAATTTCGAGCAATACCAATAATCATACATCAATGATAAGCTATCATTATAAATATGGATTCAGTTTATCGGATGAAGATGGCAGCACAAACAGTGAAGTTACTGATGACTCTGAGAAACGTGTCTTAGCAGCATTTGGTCAACGGAAGCATGTTGTAAAAGAATTAGTTAAAACACAGATAGATTTTACAACAGATATGAAAACTGTTCTATTGGTATTCAATTCTATCACAATGCAGGTAATTATCAATGATGAATTTGTGTTGTTACTTTGTGTTTGTCTTTGTTTTATTCTCATAAATGTGATTAAATTAGCCGTGAAATGATTGATACAAAGTTTAGAAGTTTCGTCTTATGCTCATCATAACACTGCATGAAGATACGACAATATTTATTCAGAGTTTTGCTGGTTGAAAACTACTGAGTAGTAGTCATATCATAGAAGTAATATTAAATAATAGTCCGAATAGCTCAGTAGTAACCTATCTGAGTGCAGCACTAGGTGACGTGGGTTCGAATCTCAGAAGGGACATGAGTTCCTTCGAGGTCGCAGATACGCTTTGCCTGTACGTCGGTGGCGCAGGGGTGGAATGCTCGCCAACAACGCATATGGTCAGGAGTTCGAACCCAGGCCAACGTACTCCCAAACGTCTCTAAGCCGGCAATAAGTGCGGTAAAGAGGGAAGGTTGGACATGAGACTAGCGACCCTATCCCGTAAAAATGACACCACTGCTACTGAAAATTCGGCGATCTAGCTTGAAACCCTATGTGTAACACTGGAAACATAAATGAATAAAACCAAAATAACCCAATATCAAATAAATTTCAATATGTCACTATTACGAACTAATTATTATTCGTCGTCTTTCGTTTCACTGGTAACGGATTTTCCTACATGCTCCATAAGGGTTTCATAGCAGTTATGACATGTGTATATGTAATCAAAATTCTTCTTATTATTATCATTATTTGCCTCGCCCCCGAGTGAAACATAAGGCTTCGGCAAAACATATCCATTCCACCTTGTTCTCTGACGTCTTTTTTATCTGGCTACGCAACTTCCCATAAACTTTCAGTGTATCCTCACATGATCTCCTCCATGTCAACTTCGATATCTCAACTCGTAGTTTCCCATTTTGGTTCCTGTCGATGGCATGGCGCACGATATCACTCGATGATTTCTTCAGAATATGCCCAGTCCACCTGCATTTTCTTCGTCGCATTTGTTGAGCAACAGGTTGTCGGTTGTTGCTGTTTATGTGTGACTGACTATCTGATCTTCTGTATAAAGCGAAGAGGAGGCAGCTTTTGATAAGGTCTAAGTCAGGCTTTTGGTAATGCTTTTTGTGACACACGAAGTCTGCAATCGCTACAGAAACTTCAAGGCCATGGAAGTGAATACACGTAGAATATCTAAATCATACAACTTAACTGTTTGGATTTGATTCCACATGCTATGATTGTGGACAGTCAGTAATGCTAAAATGTAGTATCAGGCAAATACTTCTATTTGAGAAACTTGAATAATTTCATTCATTGAATAAATTCAAATAAGGTGTTCATAAGATAAATGTATTAATAGGTCATCTAGTCTAGGGTAGGAAAAGGTTAAAAATCTAGGTTGCACGCAATCATTCAGAGCGTTCCAGTTACAAGTTAATTACATTAAACTACAGTTATGTAGAATAACTAAAGATGGCTTTCTTTTTTAAAAAAACGGTCTTGTTAACCTCTGGTTTTTCTTAACTGTTACCTGAATGAAGTTTCCAGGATACCTGTAAATTCGTAAAACTGCATGTATGCAACCACTGAAAAACCCCAAAGTGATGTAATCTATTCGGAATGCCTTATTTAGATAACTCTGTACTATATGATATAATTAAAAAACACAAAAGTCAGGAAAGAGATTTCTTTGAATAACTTTACTTCAAAGCCGTAAGTTATTTAGGTGTATACATATATAATGTTAATTGACAACAAAGGTCATAGATTATTGTAAATTAGTAACAAAACAGGTCAAAAAGTGTGATGAAAAATAACACTCTGTGAAACACAGACATCGAATAGTTTAATGTAATCCAGACGGTTGACAAACAATTAGTTAAGTGATAAATAATCACTTGGAAATAACGCATAGGAAACAAAAGAATAAAGGAATGAAAATAGGTTACTTAAATGAAAATTTTAAAAAAATCATTTGAAGGGGTGTATAGAGTTTACTATGCAGCAGTCCAGAAAAACGAAACTGAAACTAAGACCACAGTAGTAAAAGAGGCTGGATAAGACTATTCTGTACACAAAATTCCATTATTTTCTTACTGATCGCTAGAGCTTTGGCTGTGTGAAAAAGATGCAAGCGAAATACCGCTGAACGCCTCAATCTTAGTGAATTCGTCACTCCAACTGAAGTTTGTGCTGATGCTACATGGCTGTTCTGCGTTCTCCTTTCAACAGCCATGCTGGTAGGTGTTCATCAGCGCGTCTAGGCAATGTCCTGCTGGTACAGACTATGTACATAACTCCACAGAAACAAGTGAACTAGTAAATATGCGTTGAAGTTTCTAATATCATTATCTTGTCTTTGGTGTTTTGGTGAACAAGATATTGTTTAGAGAAGGTGATGAGTAGGGATGCAGCAAAAGACTTTCTTCGAATTACTGTCGACAGACAAGTTCGCAGGATTCCACTAATTACAAATCTCCTATATTTTAGATTTACAGTTAGTCGCTTCTTTATATCATCCAGGGTCTGTGAAGCATAAGTCTTTATCTTCAAGTGTTTATCGTTTCTGTCTGTCTGTCTGTTTTCGACATAGAACTTTGCACAAATGTGCGGAAGTTCAAGTCGCCACATTCCGTGTAGCACGCGAAGCAAGAGAAGAAAGTACAAGAAAAGCATAATAGAAACAGTGAGCAGAGGTGTGAGACAAAGGAGTAATAAAGAAATACAAAACAGTTTCATTGAAGATCATAAGTCACAGGGAGTGGATGCATCTACGCCACTGAGAACGATTTTGAGCCATGTCACCAATTGTTTCCAACCATAGATTTTTACCGTCCCGAGGACCCCAGCCTGGAAGTCTACACCTTCCTACGTGGCTAAGGCCAACTGTTGTGGATTTCATTGACTGATGCCAAGTTTTTGTTTGACCGCCGCTAGCTTTTTTCCAGCCTGACCCTATATCCGCTAACATAGCTCGTCGAGGGAGGCGATGACTTGGCATACGTAACACATGTCCTAACCATCTCAGTCTTTGTAACTTCACGACTTCGTCGATTGATTTCCCCAGTTTACCTAGAACTCTACGCCTAACCTCCATGTTGCTCACCTTATTATGCCACTTTAGACGGGAAATAGAACGCAGGCACCTATGATCAAAGGCAGCTAGTCTTTTCATGTCTTCCACTCTCAGTGGCCAGGTCTCACAGTTGGCCATAAAGGAGGACGGAGCGGACTGATGAGCAGTACACCCGCCCTTTGGTCGATAGTCGAACATCTCGTCTACGCCAGAGTCGGCGTAAACTGGCAAATGCCAGTTTATCGTTTCAGGAGGCTGGACATTCATTTTTGAGCAGGATGCTTCTGAAGCATTCTGTTTCCTTATTGAATTTATCTTTGTCGCATATGCGATAGATTCTCGTTACATGTGAGGAGGTGAAATTTTTTTTTCTACCAACTGGAGCTAAACTACGAAAGTTTATCAGCTGTCGATTCCATCCTAGCCTTCCTTAAATTGATCTTTGTAGGGTTTCATCTGTTCATCTTGAAACCATAGTGACTAATTTAGTTTCATTATGAAACTCTGCACAGAAGTGCACCAGTTCAAGTTGGCACACTGAATTTAGCACACAAAAGTATAAAAAATAGAAAAGAATCAAATGTAATGAACAGAAATATGAGGAAAAAAGAATAGTAACATGGAGGAACATTAGGATTTAGTGAATATGGGCGATCACAAAGAGTAAATACATCTAAGCCGTTGAGAGCGGTTTTGAGCCATGTCTAAAACAGTATCTGGTAACTGAATCTCGGTATCCTGATAACCCCAACCAAGAGGCCCACACCTCAACACTTGGCCGGCTCAAACCCACAATTAAAGACTTCATGGACTGATGTCATGTTTCGGTTTGAACACACCCAACTCCTTTCAAACCTAATCCTATGTTAAGTTAAATTACCCGTCAAGGAGGTGATGGCTTGGGATGCAAGAAACGTATCCCAGACATCTCAATCAATATGGATTCACAGTCTCATCGATTGACTTACTCTCACTTACTAACATTCTACGCATAACTTCAATATTACTCACCTACTATCCACTTAACACGGAAGACAGAATGCAAAAGTCTGTGGTCGAAACAGTCAGCCTTTTCAAATCTTCCACTTTCAATGGCTGGCTCACAGCCTTAAAGAAAAACAGAGAGAACTAGCGCGGAGTACACAGGTCTACGCCAGAGATGACGTAGGTTGGCGGACGCCAGATAAGCCTCTTATATCCATGCTGATATTTCATCATCAGTATGTCCGGTGGGGATGATAATCTTCCCATCTGTGAATTTGGAGTCGGTTCAGTCTAGTCTTGTGACTGTATCTTATATTTGACAAGGGAGAATCGCATGCCAAACATCTGAAGACTGCCGCTTGTGGTGTTCAAAAGACTCTGAATTTTATCATCTTCTTCACCTAGAAGTGCGTCATTGGTTCGGTGGTAAAACTCTAGCCAACCACGCACATGTTCTGAGGTTCGATACGCAGCCAATGCACTCCTGAATCTCGCCTGGCCATTTGTAAACTTGGTAAAGAGAGAAGGTTTGGCGTGAGGCTAACAACCCCATCCGGTAAAAAGCACCACTACTACTGAAACTTCAAGGCTTCAAGCTTGAAGTGCTATGTTCCACTTTGAACGCAAAGAAATACAATATGAAATAGATAATAACCACCTACAGTAGAATATCATCAGCTTTTTCTAGGTCTATAAGACTGCCCCCAGGGGACATGTTAATCTCTAAGTCGCTAAAGTCAGTTAATTTCAACTCCATCAGTAAAGTTATGATGAAACTAAATAAAAATGTGGGGCAGCGAGTATCCCTAATGGACGCCACTGTTTGTCATTGCTTCAGATGACCACTCTCTGAAAGCTCTTACACAGCTGCGTGAATTCGAGTAGAGTGCTTGATTAGGCTATATATCTAGGAAGGATAGTTTACCTTCCAATTCCACTTCAAACTGATAGGTTTCCAGAGTTTTACTTAACTTAATATTTTGATGGATAATGATTAATATATAATATATGTGTCGCTTGTAAACTTCGAAATGATCTCTGACTAATTAGAGGCTACTGAATTCAAGGTAGGCCATGGAGCCAACTGCAAATAGTGAACCTCATCTTTTTGTCGGCATATTTGACGGTTGAATAAAGACTGCACATCCGTTATGCTTCTCAGTATTGGCTCTTCGGTGTACTTAGTGGTTGTACCAACATTCACATTACTTTAGTCAGTAAACTCATACAGCTAACGCACGGTTTTCGTTAAGTAGACATTGGTGAACAGGGAAAAGCACAAATTGATAGTTACTTATACTTAAGTCAAACAAATATTGTTAACAATCCTTTATCTTAAGGGAATCTTACAGTCAGTTTAAAGAAGACATTTCCTACAGTAACACTGTAATTAGTTCACGTTCATTTCACCTTGTACATATTTACTCATAGTTGCGCGTTCTCAGTGATTTAAAAAAACAGTTAGAAAAAGATCTTGTCAAAACCAAATATTTGACTTCAAAGAGGTACATAAACAGACCAAGGGAGTAAATTGTATAAATTTGTATTCCATTACTATTTTGATCCCAATGACATATTCTGATACACTTTGAATTTTGACACATTTGAAAACTATCTCCATCTGAACCGTCATCAAACAAGTAAACCTTATGTAGCAAGTATGTAGACAAAATGATATTCATGACCTGAAATTTACCTTTTCTAAAATGACCACCTTTTGGATTTACAAATGAAGTCAGTTTAATATCCGGTCAGTTCTACAATGGGTACGCCGTCGACCGTATAAATCCCGTATGCCTAGCACATCTATGTTAATAGCTATCAACGGAAAACATCCTTATGGAAAGGTCAATGTCAGCATATGAATTCATTCTTAAGCTAAGTAAAATTTGACTATGTAACATTCTCTACTAGTTGAATAATTTGATTAGTTTGTGCTTTCCATAATTAGTCCATAAGGACGAATTCTTCTCTCAGGTGAAGTTTTATAAAGCCAGACTCTCTTAAATCTATGCATAACATTTTCTGAACAGTTAAGATATTTAAGTGGTAATTCCAACAAAACAAATCATAATTTCCTCATAATACACAGATCAGTAAGTTCAGGACCACTTAGGATAAGTAGTTTAGCTCCCTAATAAACTAAATTTATTAAGCGGAACGAAGCCTGTGGTACACACCCAAAATCTATGTGTTACCAGGATGAGTTTCATATATGACACTAAAAAGCCACTATAGTAATTTAAAGGATGTCAGCAATTAAAGTATAAGTATAAAATGCCGTCAAGAATTAGCTCATAATAATCGCAAATATATATATATGTGAATCAATCCCCCTTATTCTAGCGTCATAACATCAATTCAACGAATTTTCACTCAACAAATTGGTGATTTATCTCTCCACTATATGTATAAAATCAGGTAAATGAATCAGATCGATATGCATTATTGGGAAATTTGGATCAATTGGTTCGAGTTAATGATAATATATCCATGCTACTACAACAAGAAATTGATGAATATCCTGATAATCAAGTGGGCAACGCTTGTGTAGGTAAGTGATTATATCACTTGTTTTTGACAGTATCCGTTTTAGTTTTGTTCATTAATAAGATAACACTGTCTGAACACTTGTGACGTAATCCTCGCTTAAGAATCAAGGGAATTACGTGGATCAATCACTATTATTATTCCCTTGGGTTCCTAGTGGGACGTAGGGCTTCAACAACACATCTATACTTTGTTCTGTTCTCTGCCATCCTCTTCACCTGGGTCCATGATTGCCCATAATCTCTCTTCCCTTCCTCACACGATTCCCTCCATGTCGTCCTAGGACGACCCACTCGTCGCTTCCCAATGGGATCCCACTCGAGGGCCTGGAGCACGATGTCATTCAACGGCTTCCTCAGTGTACGTCCGATCCATCTCCATTTTCTCCTACACGTCGATCAATACTCATTGTATTTTTAGCAGATATTATTTAACTTCAAAGAACACAGCATGTTGTGTCTGCCACGATGCTTGCTGTTGCCAGAAGAAATTCCTACAGAATTGAAATGGTTGATGAAGACGTTCTACCTAGTGTGGTCAAATGTAGTGATATTGTAGTGAGAGATGGCTGCTAGCCAAAGTTTGTAGACAGTAATTTACGTCAATGTTTATGTCCCCAATATTGGTCGTGAGAAAAATGAGAACAAAGACTTTGCGTAGGCGGGTACAATTAGCATATAGATGACCTGACATTCAAGGAACAGTAACAAAGAGATGCAAGGTTAACTTTCTGTGAAAAACAATCAATCAGAAGACAGTGTTTTTCTGCTAACAATAATCTATAATAATGTACATGAAAATCTATAAATATGTGTTGATGTCCCTAATAAACGATCTGTTTCCTGGCCCTTGTCTTCTGTTATTACATTATTAGTGAGCATACTTTCCATTTCTTCATCTGTTTAAGTTCATGAAAAAGATTTTTTTATGATGGATCGTTTATTTTTCAGACCTTCGGAGATTAACTTCCTGAAAAGAGAAACATCTTGTTCATAACAAGCCAGCAAATAACATTTCTGTTAGGTAGAGGCTGATACAGGAGGATGAAGATACTAAGTGTGTTGGATTAAAATAGTTTGAGAATTCATCAAATGTAATCCAGTGCTTCAGAAATAGTTTGTGCCAAAAACTGCTTTATAGTTGTCGTATAAGTCAGTTGAATATTTTGAATATTTTAAGCTCTAAGGAATCCCTAAATATATATAATTATTGATGGACATCTAAGCAAGATCCCAAAATGCCTTCCTAATATATATAACGTTTCACACCAACAAAATATTTCATTCAGAAACAGTTTTCTGTTTCATTACCTGCAGTGGTAATGTATGTACTTAAAACATCTGACAATCGGTTCACATGTTTTGATGGGCTGCATACTGCCTGAAGAGAAAAGAGATGTGTTGTGAAGATACAATCAGAAATTTCTTACAACACGCCTAGAAATCAATCGCAATGGTGTTTATATTTTTGTTAAGTCTCATATAATCTGCAGGTTTTTAAGCTTCCTAGACTAATTTACTCTGCTCACATCAATATCTTTACTTTTGTTTGCCCTAACATATCTCCTATTGTTGAATTTAGATATAGCAGCTTAAATCAATGTACCTTTGTCTGTTTACCTATTTTTTTTACCCATTTGCCTCTGTTCCAAGATTATTAGTATTCGATTGTCTTAAGTGTGGTTAGAGGGAAATCATTTATTACTAAAATCTCCGACCATATATTTTGTAAATCGTTTGACCAGTCTGTTACTGAAATCTGTACACATATATAGTTGTTATTGTGGAATGTGTATATTAGTAGGAAAAAGATACGAACTGAAATAGTTGAATGTATTGATCACTTCTCTTATTTGGTAAGTTGCGTTAACACCAGCTGACAGATCCCCAATGAAATCTCAGTAAAGATATCATATAATTGCTCGATACTGATCAACTTGCATTGTCTTTAGTGTAGATGTGATGCTCAATTACTTGTCAAACAGTGTGTGTACCATGTACCAGTCCATCTCGTCCTAATTTTTGCTTGTGAGACGCTAAATGGTTGAAGATATGAGGCGGTTAGAGAGTTCTCACTAAACGACTCCTTTATTGGTTTCTGGTGTTCATTAAGTCTGTTTGCTCAGTAATAATGACTTGAGGGACGAACTAACTACATTGATGAAGTCATGAAGCTTCATGGACACTAGCTAAACTACCAAATTCCTAGATGCGCGATTTCGTTTGAAGCAAGGGTTGAGAGTGGCTAAAACAAAATATGATAACACTCGCAAAAGACCTTAACTACTGCTCCGAGTCATATAGGGAGATGTAGGTTCCCTGGCAGAGGTCATCAAAATCCTAACAACCAGCGATTGAACACTCTGCAGCAAGGTTCATTATCTATTTTGGCATTTATTCACTCTTTTCTTTCTTCTAGATTTTGACAGTGTTCATTGATTTCAGTTCTATTACTTCCATGTATCCCTCTCGAAATGTGCGAAACGTGGTATATAACATTTTGTAACCTCATACAAAAGAAGTATGAATATTAAAGAGAAGAATGCTTCGTTAGAAGCCACATCAACCATAGGAATTCGTATTACTAAAAAAACCTTATTCATCTTTCTATTCGAGAAGAGCTCAAATGACTAAACATGTTTCAGAGATGGAAAACAACCACAAAATTGAATTTAAAAAAAATCTATACTGAGTCGGTTAGCATTGAAAATTCAGTACAATTCTGTACTGCTGTTTAGAGTCCGTTTCTGTGTTTTATTCTGCAATCATAAGAAGAATATGTCAGCATTTATTATAGTGACTGTTCAATATCGTATTTCTATTATTAACCTAAATACAAATGCAACCATCTATTTAATGTAATTACTAGTTTCTGTGGAATAGTAATTAAGACTTTTCTCTCTACTCTTTCCACAGGTAAATGTATGCTTTCTTCAAAATCCTCCATAAATGAAGCACTGAAGACATATATTGTGAACTTTTCTGTTGATGCTTCTACAAAGGTTAGTCAAAGCTTACATTTTGGTTATAACTATTTGGTGATTTTTCAGAATTTGATATATGTCAAATTAAATCAAAAAATTATCTCATTGACTTGAAAAACACAAGGAGAAATAGATGATACAGCAGTTCATTACATATATTTCATCAGAAAATTTTGGTGTATCTCCGTTCTCTGAGGTGAATGCTGTAGTTGTGAAGCTTTCATTGTCTTACTAGACAACATGCCCAACTCATACTTCAATCTATAATAAGCTTTCAGAATTCTCTACGAGTTTGTAAATCATCTCTCCCATGGACGTTGAACTTGATTGGTCGTCTTTAGATATTTTTCCACTATCTAGTCCACTTTTATTTGTACAGATTATATTGTTGAGACGAAAAACTCGTGAATAATTCTAATAGCTTATTTCAAATTGAAGTATGCACTGAGGATGTTGTCTAGTAAAACAACGAAAGCTCCACAAGTAAACCACCCAGCTCAGAAAACACAACTACATGAGAATCATCCAGCTGAGCTACGAATCTCCACCACTTAAATGTTTCTTGCTTGATTTTATTAGAAAGTGTTCACCGAACGGTAATATAAGATGAATTCTACAAGAGATGTTAATGATTATTTTCCCATAAAACCATAGACTTGTTTGTCTGAAAAGTTAACAGTGGGAGGCTATCATCGTTTTTTTGAAAACTTATACGTTAACATTACGTGCAACAAATCCAAATTTGTTCACAAAGCAGGTATTATAACCGGCATTCATACATAATATAAGGGAAATATTCTGCATTTGTGACGGTTAAGCGTGAAATAGATGTCAATATTAATTAACAAAATATGTTATTGAATTGGTATGAATTTCTCAAGTTTATATATTGTAACTGCAAGAGCCATTTCAAGCATGCTGATTAGATTTCACACATGTGCATTCAAACGTCAGAATAAATTGTTGATGAAGAATATTACTTCACATTACCTCTTCAAGCTAGTAATAAGGCTGGTAAAGGGGGAAGATTGGGCATGAGGCTAGCAACCCTTTCCCGTTAAAGGAAACGCCACTGCTACCGAAACCTCAAGGCTCTAGCCTGAAGCCCTATGTTACACTGGAACGTAAAGGAATAAAAATATATTAATGATATAAGTATAAAACTTGGGCACTGTGGTAGAGTATAACTCCATTATGGATAAGATTTTATTTTGATAAATCGCACACAGTGTTGTACAGTTATATTAACTGATGACGTTTCGAGCATAAACTATTGCTCATAATCATATCAAGTATATGAGCAATAGTTTGTGCTCGAAACGTCATCAGTTAATATAACTGTACAACACTGTGTGCGATTTATCAAAATAAAATCTTATCCATAATGGAAAAATATATTAAAACGTATTGAGAAGAAAATAGAAAGTTCAACCTTTCAATCAATGTGGTGACACAATGCCTTTCTATCGTACTCAATCTTATATGTTTCCTTTATTTCTTATTAAGTAAAAACACAAGTTATTGTGAATATATGTGAGTTATTAAATAGTTTATTGATTTCAAAATTCTCCTATAGAGCCCAGAAGTTCAAAAGTTCGCAATGCTGGGATTTAAACGCTTACAAATTGAACGTCCAAATATAATGAGTTTAAATGATGAATTAATTAAACCAGTTCAACGATTGGTAAAATTAAAACAACTATTTGAATTACTCAAAGATGTAAGTATTTGTAAAAAAAAAAATTAAAAATTATACATCTTTTCCTAAACTGAACTGTTTAATTGGGTTGTGGTAGATGTGAATAACCATAATGACGAAATAGAGACTGAGTACAAATGTTGTTGAAATTGATGAACGATGGTCTAGGGAACCTTATTACCAAATCAGAGAAGCAAAGAAAACAATGAGCTGACCACATCAAAGGACTCGTGAACTGATCATCGCCTGAAATTCTTCCAGAGGTATCACTAACTGAGACAGATATTCAAGTGGACAGACTTCATCCGACAAAAGTAGAAGTTATGAATGCCATAAAGCTGCTGAAAGCCACTCAAAGAGGCAGCATGATTACGCATAATTCCTTTGGAATCACTGAAAAAGAATCCAGACGCCGTAACGGGTGTGATCACGCGAGTGTCGCAAAACGTTCGAAAAGAAGAAAAAGTACCTACTGGTTGGAAGAAAAGCTACCTTGTCAAACTGCAGAAGAATGGGGACTTAGGCCTCTGAAAGGCCTCGCAATCATGTGCTTGTCCACGTTTAGTAAAATACTAAATTACATCACAGTGCCTAGTATCACCGGTGACATTCCTAATTATAGCGGACTAGATCATGCTTCAGGCTGTAGTTAGCAACAAGACAGGAATAAGTTGGATCGACAAGATAATAGAAGATTTGAATTTCACACACAATTTATGCCCAGTGTCATACAGGCTCGAAAACATACAGGAGAAAGCCGATAGATTGGAGGAGAGGGAGGCAGGCAAGACAGGACTTCAAGTGGAAATCGAGTAGACAGAGGTGGTAAAGATAACCGAAAACCACAAAGGGAACTAATCACTGTCAATGGAATAAATCTGGAAGAATTCACTTCCTTCGCTTATCTAGACAGCATCGTTTCAACTACAGGCAATAGCACGGATGAAGATGTCAAAACCAGTCATGATCGGAAAGGCGAGGAAGACTTTCATCACTCTGAAACAAGTTTGGAAATCTTCACTTAGCAAAAAAAAACAAATTTCGTATTTTCAACACCAATGTCAAGTCAGTTTTTCTATATGGATCAGAAACTTGGCACGTCACAAGAAGTATTTCTAAATAGCTGAAGACCTCTATCAACAGCTGCCTTCCCTTTGTGTTGAAGATCACATGGCTAGAAAGAATAACCAAGAAGAAACTATGAGAACAAGCCAATCAAGAACTTATTGCTCAACAAATTTGCCGAAGAAAATGGAGATGGACTGTGTACACTCTGAGACGGCCATCGGGTGACATAATACGCCAATCCCTCGACTGGAACCTGAGTGGGAGACGAGTGGAGTGTCCGAGAGTAACATAAAGGAGATTTTTATCGATAGAGAGATCGTGGGGCCAACTGAAAAAAAACAGAAGGGAACCGGATAAAGTGTTGACATGCTTTTGAAACTCCATGTTTTATTCAGAAACCTAGGGCACAGAGGTTGAGACGCTCGCCGACCATGCACATAGTCCGGCGTTCGATCCCCGGCCGATGCACACCTGATATCAAATGGTTGGTCTGCTAAATTTGGGCTACCGATATCACATGCTGAAAATTTCATACTTGTGCCAAAATACTGCGTGGAATCAAGCTATGAATAAAATTTCAAAAAATATTAAATATTGTGAAATACAAAGTTGAAATTTAGGTGTAATTTTCTCCTAAGCAGTTAAGCAATTAACGTTCCTTGTTCACTGTTGTAAAACTCACTTTGAATTTGCTTTTCGTTCACATCTAGGTAACGCCAATCAGTCATCCAGATTGTGCCGCAACGATGGAAATGTTTGATAATTTTAATGAATTAGCCTATGATGTCAACGAAGTAAAACGATGGAAAGATTTATGTAGGTAGATAATTCCCTTTTGATACTGCTTTCACGGTCTTATAGTCTACTTAGGTTGTTAATAATACTAACTCTACTAGACTTTCATTGTTTTTATATACAATCTATTCTACCCAATATTTTCATCTATAGCATTTCAAACTGGTACACGTTTAATCATTGCATTTTGAGACTATCGACTGATCAGTAATATAAAACCGACTATCAAAAGACTTCATATGACATGTCACGTTTGGTAAACATCAATTCATTCATGCCGTTTTAATTTAAAAAAAAACTATTACTGATATATTTTATGTATATATATATATATATATATATATATATATATATATATATATAGTTAGTGAAGGGTTTTTCATTAACAGCGTTGACGTAAAATTGTAATTTAAATCAAATTCTTATTACTATTTAGTGTCTGCTTTTTATTTTGCCTTACAAAGAAACGTAGCATTATTGGAATGTCTGCGGTTTTTTTATAAAAGCAGTTTATTTTTATGCCTTTTAGTTAAGAGCTCAAAACACAATTCACTTCAGTGTAATAGATGCTTTCAGATTCACATGAAAATCAATTCTTCTGAATAATGATGTCATCATTCTAGTTGGGTTGTGTTTTGCAAACATTTATGCCAAGAATGTTTTAGAAGTATTTTTTATGAAGATAATATTTTTGCTAAAATTCAGTGGTGTTTACATTTAAGTGAAGTTTTTATTGTTCAGGAATTAGAAACGTATGGTTCCAGTGACTATTAAGTCACTTTGGAACAATATTTGGGAAGTAATCCAAACGTTGATAGGCAATGAACTGAATGTGAAACAAAAATAGTATTCATTATTACTATTATTCCTTTATGTTCCCAGTGGAACACAAGGCTTCAACAACACATCTCAATTTCATCTTGTTCTCTGAAGTTCTCTTTAGCTGGCTTCAAAAGTGCCAGTAGTCTCGATTTCCTCTTCAAACGATCCCTTCCATGTCAATCTTGGAAGCTCAACTCGTCGTTTTCCATTCCAGGTCCACTTGAGGGCCTGGCACAACATGTCATCCAACGGTTTCCTCAGTGTGTGGCTGATCGATCTTCACTTAAATTATTTAGAATATGTATTAATACGTGTACTGGTATTAACAAATTAGGGGTGCGAAAATTTATTGCAATAAATAAACTGGCAAAATGAATATTTATTATGAGAAAATATTCACGTTATCAGACAACTGCCTTACAACAGGAGTAACACAGATAGGATATATTAAATTTTCAAACAACTTATTTGTGTCAAACAAGTCTGATTCCCTGCTCTTCCTAATAATATTTAGTCTTCTGTAAATATTTTTTTTCTTCACGTCCCCCAGTGGAACATAGGCTTTCAAGCTAATGGCTTGAAGTTTCTGTAGCAATGTTTATTTCACAGGATGGGGTTGCTAGCCTCATGCCCAACCTTTCCTCTTTACCAGCATTATTTCTGGTTTAGTGAGGTAAAGTAGTGCGTCAGAAGGGATTGAACCCCAGACCATGTGCACGGTCGGCGAGCGTCCTAACCGCTGTGCCACCGACGCACTCTTCTGTGAGTATAGTCACTGAATTTTTTGCAGAAATTTTAAATGATCCACCCTGTGATTACTACTGATATTGTCTAATCTGAATGCACTTGTATACAAATGATGGATGGGTTGATAACTCTGTTCGATAGAATTCATGATAATCAGTATACAGAAAAAAATCATGGCTACTTCGGTTTTCAGCAGCCAGTGATATCAAAAGATTTCAACCTTATCTCTGTATACTCCCCTGGTAATTAGACGTCTCAACCCTGTTTTTGTGTTTGTTTTTAGATGCGTCACAATTCTTTTTCAATTACAACTCTCTAAGCTGAGCTCATTATTAATCTTCCAATTTAATTAATTGTGTATTTCATACATTTGTTCCCCTTAATGAATTTGAATAAAACAAGAACAACAGTTTTTGCAGAATAAAATGGTACCATCATTTATTTCGTTGCCTTCTCATTAGATGCTTACAGCCCAAAGTTATTATTAAGTTTATCTACAGAAACAGTTTTAACATACTTGCATAGAGTTCATTTTTAAACAAAAATCAATCAATCAATTTATGCATACAGTAATAAAAATATACAAGTGTTGGTTTGTAGGGATTTGGTTGATTGGTTACAGGATTTCATCATGAGCTGACATCGGTTAGAGAACCACTGGAAAACCTGGTATTACTGGACAGTTGTTTCGTCCTGGTTTGGGACTCCAGCAGTACGCACCCACCGGTTTCGAACCCATATATATATATATATATATATATATATATATAGTAAAATTAAATACTATTCCGAATAATAATGATCACATACAATGGAAACTTTTGACATTACGTAATCAGATGAAAGAGGGATGAAAATATCCAGTCACCAGGGCATAGAAAGACCGGTAACTTCTTCTTTCTGAACGCATAAATTGGGTTTCAGGCGCTTGATGGAGATTGCTTTGGCAAACTTGAGGAGAATTGACCTCTTTTGTCTACTGATATTTTGAACGATCTGAATATCAATGAGATGCTCACTGGCGACTGGCCCTATTCAGGTAGGTAGTTACCTGGGGTTCTAGTGGGAAGTCGTGACCAGTGGGGTGAAGCAGGTAGGATTTGAGGACAAATACTCGCCGAAGACATTGGCTAGGGGTCGTACTATGTCGTGAATTGGCAGAAGTTAGGATTCCTTGGCTATTGGATCAGGTCCCAGTGGTATACGAGCTCGCCTTGTAACCAGAAGATCCTGAGTTCGAACCCTGGCGGTGGGTACGTACTGATGAAGAGTCCCAAACTGGGCTAACGAAACAGCTGTCCAGTGCTCCCTGCAGGTTTTCCAATGGTTCTCTGGCTTACGTCAGCTCATGATGAAATCCAGTAACCGATCAACCAAATCCCTAGAAACCAATACTTGAAATCCATCAGTGATATTAAGGAGCTGTAAAAATCAAACCAAAGTAATCATCTTAAGTAATATAAGTCGTCAAATGTTTAATACACAAATCATCTTAAATTTAGTTCACCTTCTGCTTAGTATTTCTTCAAGTGTCTATTAATGGGAATAATGTTTCGCTGTAGAAATTCTATTTTTCTTCACAATGTTTATTTATTTATACCTCAAACTAAACATAATTTCAAATATAACATATCAACTTCTTAATTATTCTCATCATAGGTATTAGTGCATCTGATGAAACAAATAAAACCTCTATCATGGATATGGTTGATAAAACTACCAAAAGAATACTGACAAAAGTAGCACGTACTTGCAGTGCAGAAGTTAATCGAAAAGTAAGTTATCGTATTGCTTTGTCAGAATACTTGGAAGTGGAAGTATACTTCATCTATGACTTGTTAATTAACCGCATACATTATTAATAAGTCCTGGTTATTGACTAAATGTGCCACACACACACACAGAAACCCCTGCTACTGATTCATTCAAAGCTCTAGCTTGAAGGCCTACGTTCCAGTCGGAATGTAAAGGTTTTAGATAAATAAATAATAACTTGACTGACTATAGAGAAGAGAGTATAATACAGATGTAATTCTGTAGCCTTATGTTCTCCAGATGGAACGCATGGAACGAATAATAATAAGTATTGATTAAGGTCTACTTTTAAAGTATGCAATGAAAGGACACGGCACTTTAGTGCATATTAAGTGATATGAGTTAATTACCTATATGAAGGCATTTCGCGTCACCAAGTATTCCTTTGCAAGATGCTTATGAGGCTAAGGATACTCAAAACTGAGTTCACTACTAAAGTCAAACTGTGATAAATTGAAAGCGTCGATGGCACAGTGGTTAGGATGTTCGCCGACCATCCACATGGTCCGGGGTTCGATCCCTTGCCAGCGCATACATGATATCAATGGTCGGCCTGCAAATTATGGGCTACCGAGATCACATGCTGAAAATTCCATACTTGTACCAAAAATACGGTATGGAATGAAGCTATAATCAAAAAAAAAATCAATCACATCCCTACAAACCAATACTTGAACATTAAGTGATATTGTTTTATACACTAAGATGCCTTGATTTGTTTTGAGTGTACTTCTGACTAATTCTCAGACTTAAAAATGACAACAGACAGACATGTAATCATCATTAGTCATCATTGTGCTATTTCATAAATCTAAGCATCTGTCGTTTCAGGCGAATATCATTACTTGAATGCTCGTGGTCACGTAGTATTATGATAGTAACTCAATGGTGAATGAATTGAATCAAATTTCATTTAGTGTGCCCTAAATCTTCTACTTAAGACCTAAACTGAAAATTTGTATACAGCTTTTCCTGCTCTCTAATCTATCCTTGATTATTTTATCATTATTTCCCACCGCTTATCACACTATATCTTTAATTTTTCTTAATTTCCTTCTCTGCCACCATGAGTTTTATCCACACCTTTTCAGTATCGCTATAAAATTACTTAAAATAATTTCAGCGTGTTGAACGTATCAAAACAAGATTTTTGTAGGCGTTTTGCTTTGTAAACTACAGCTTCTTCAGCAGAATTGGCTGTGACTTATTTACACAATAAAAAGTTCAGAAGAATCTCGTTTTTGATATTCTCAACACGCTGAGATTATTTTAATTAATTTTATAAGGATCTGATCTGATTTGGCAGTCAAATTACCTCAGGAAATTCGTATCATTTATGGTTCTGCTATTGATAATCTTGTCAGCATTATATGGAATAATTTAGTTTTGTCTGGTTCAAATTTACAGCACGATTTTTCATCCTAATAATCATTTGTACCTTTGTTTGTAATAAGTAATCAGGTCGTGACCTATGTCATTTTTATTTCCATATTTACCGTTGTGTAGATGTAATAATAATGTTTTGATTATGGCACACTGAACTACATGAAATTTTAGCATTCCAAGAAGGTAGGCATTCTAAATGATATTAGATGGTTGGAGGCAATCGGCCTCAGGAAGCCTTGGACCTAGATTTCGTGCTAGTTGGCAGTCACCAGCCAGAAAGGCGTATCTACAACCTTGAAGGAACTCATGTCCCTTCTGAGATTCAAACCTGCGTCACCCAGTGAATGCTGCTGTCAGAGACGTTACCACTGAGCTATTCAGGCTCACGATTGACCTCCTGTAGGACTGTAGCGGATATTTTGATTGGACACTAGTAACTAGTGTTATGCGTCTAGTCCTTTCTTTAGTGCATACTGCAGCACTGAGTGACGCGGGTTTGAATCTCAGAAGGGACATGAGTTCCTTCAAGGTTGCAGATGCACCTTGCTAACTGCTGAGTGGCAACTAGCACGAAACCTAGGTCCAATGCTTCCTGTCGATTGTCTCCAACCATCTAATATCATCAAATCAATGTGAACTGTGATGGCGAGCTACCTAGAATGGTGGCCACATTGCAAACCTGACTGATAGAATTCAGTCTGCACCAAAGATAGAACAAGGCGCCTAACACTAATTACTAGTGTCCAGTCAAAATATTGTAAATAGATAAATTCTACACAAATTTTCAGTTTAATGCACATGTAGAAGATTTTCAACACACAAAATGAAATTGATTTCAGTTCATCCCAGAGTGTTTATTATTTTTGCCTTACAGAAATGCATAATGGAAACATTTCCTTGTATGTTATTCTAATTTTATTCATGCCTTCAGTTGTATTACTGTTCGTATTGACAAAAAATACCTTTTTTATTTATTAAACAACTATTTCATTTCCAAAACTCAGTTGCAGGTTCAGCAAAAGTTTACCGCTGAAAGAGAAACAATCAATCAATTAGAAAAATCGTGTACACTTTTACGTAATGCAGTGGAATCTCGTTATAAAAAAATGCAGGTAACATGAAAATAATGTTTAAAGTCTCGATTATATCCTGTTTCTTGATATTATAAATACATCTGTCTGTAGTTTGTGAGATTTGATCAAAAAAGTGGTCGCACTAAAATCACGAATAGGTAGAAGTTAGAATTCATGGGCCACTGGATCGGTTCCCCGTAGCTTAATGGTCTACGAGCTCACCTTGTAACCAGAAGGTCCTAGGTTCGATCCATGGCAGGGGGTGCGTACTGCCGATGAGTCCCGAACTAGGATGAAACAACTGTCCAGTACTCCGGTGCTGGTTTTCGATGGTTCTCTTAATGATATCAATCTGTGGTCTAACCTGAATTATAAATTATTATCAAAAATTACTGATATTCAGTGTTTGAAAATAACTCCGCTAGGGTTTGTTTTTTCATTTAGAATATAATGAATAGTTTTGATAGTTGCGATACTGACGATTATAAATCGTATATATATGCATTTTCGTCAAGTTAGGTCCACATAAACATGAAGGTGATACTAACTATTTACTTTTTGCCCAATCAAAATCTCTTGAACAATTTAACATAGATACATTAAGAGCAGTGAGTTAGATCTGCGAAATTCGGAAAATAATTCTTCTTCTTCTTTCTGGAAAAATTTGAACTAGCGCTACATCACTTCTTCATAATTATGTTGTCTAGTTAACTTTTAAGTATCAATTATCAATCTTAAACACTCAGTTTGAAAAGTAGCAATGTATTGTAAGAAAATATTTAAAGCATTTATGTACATTAACGTAGATATTTGACTCCAAATCATTCAATCAAACTTGATGACATCTAGTACATTGATAACCAGTACAATTAATCGTGGCATATTATGCGAGATTAATACGTCAGTGCAATATAATTCCAAGCTTCTGTACACCCTTAAAAGACAGAGAATGATGAGTATTTAGTAAGTTGTTTCAGCCAAACAATATAGCAGTTTGAATGAGTGGTAATCAAAGTTTATCCAACTTACTTAGTACTTTCTAAACTATCATTTATCAGTGTAATAGCTTATTGGTATCTTTTTTCTATTCCTTTACGTCCCCCTCCCCCAGTGGAACATAGGGCTTCAAACGAGAGCTTTAACGTTTCAGTAGTAGTAGTTTTATTTTTACAGGGCAGAGTTGCTAGCGTCACGCCAACATTCCCTGTTTAACCGGCCTTGCTACTGGCTTAGTGGGTTTGCAGCGCGTTAGTGGGGGATCGAATCCCTGATCACTTGAGCGGCTGGCGAGCATTCTACCTCTGTGCTGCCGAAACAATGCCTTATTGTGTGTATGTTCAATAATTTGATTACGTGATGTTTCGCTATATCATAAATTTTGTCATAAGAATATTGCCTATGATTTATCGATCATTTTATTTCCTTTAAGACCAAACTATACATGTTCAAACTCGTTTTTTCTAAAAAAGAAAGCGCAATGAAAATATGATAAAATTACTTAAGGATAAAACTATCTAAAATGTAGGAGGCTAATAAACACATAACATGCTTTGTTGACTAAGTGGTTTCGACATATTAGTTTGCACAGTTGTTCGAGTCACCAAACTCCATTTTGACACAAAGGAAGACAAAAAAGAGTGAAAAAAACTATTCAAAACAGCGATAATAAGCATAAATATGAAGAGGAAAGAATTAAAAGGTGGAGGAAGAATAACAGAGTTTAATGGATCTAGCACATCACAAAGAGTGAATGCATCTGCTTCGTTAGGAACAATTTGGAGCTGTATCACTAATTGTCTCCACTCATTGGTTCTTGGAATCCCGAGGATCCCAGCCTGATTATTATTACTATTATTTCCTTTATTTCCTAGAGAAACATAGGGCTTCAGCTGCGCGTCTCCATTGCGTTCGGTTTTCTGCCAACCTTTTCACCTCGCTCCAAGTCTGCCAACATGTTTTCATCTCCTCTTCACATGATCTCCTCCAAGTCACCCTCAAGCTGACGACCAACTCGCCGCTTCCCTTTCGGGTTTCACTCGAGCGATGGCTTGTCTGGTGATGTCACTTGATGGTTTCCTCAGCGTATGGCCAATCCATCTCCATTTCGTCCTGCCTATTTGTTTTACGGAATCCCAGCAGAAGCATTGAAAATGGACCCATAGATAACAGCGGACTTGATGACACCACTGCTGGAGAAGGTGTGGAAAGAGGGCAAAGTACCTCAGGATTGGAAGAAAGGATACTTATTCAAACTACCAAAGAAAGGAGACTTAAGTCAATGTAAAAACTGGCGTGGAATTATGCCGCTGTCCATCACAAGCAAAATACTAAGTCGCATCATCCTGGAGAGAATCAAACAAGCCTTGGATGTAAAACTTCGACCGGAACAGGCCGGATTCAGGAGAAACAAATCATGTATTGATCAAATCGCCACTCTACGGATCATCATTGAACAAAGCTTGGGATTGCAATCACCTCTCCACCTCACTCAACTTCAGCGACTTTGAAAAGGCCTTCGACGGCGTCGATCGATAGGTGATTTGGCAACTACTTTGCCACTACAGGGTGCCACCGACAATTATACATCTCATCCAACAGTTAGGTGTACGACAATGCTGCACGCCAAGTAATCCACAACGAGAGAATTACGGAAACCTTCGAAGTGAGGACGGGAGTGAGACAAGGCTGTCGACTATCACCAATGATTTTCCTGATTGCAGTAGATTGGATAATGCGACAGACAGTGGGCAATGAGGAAACAGGCATAAAATGGACTCACACAAAGACCTTGGAGGATCTGGGCTTCTCCGATGATATATGTCGGATTTTCCATAAACTGGAAGATATGCAAGTGAAAAGCAACAAGCTGGCAGAAGAAGCATCAAAGATAAGACTTCAAGTGAACATAGAGAAAACAGAGGTGATGAAGATTCCTGGTCAACACCAACAGCAACAACAACAGACATCAATCAGTCAGCATTAATGGGAAGAACCTGAAAGAAACAACCTCCTTTACCTACCCACCTACCTGGGAAGCATCGTTTCAACTACAGCCGACGGAACTGACGAGAATATGAAAGCAAGAATCGGAAAAGCAAGACAAGCTTTCATTACTCTCAAGTCTGTGTGGAGGTCAACACTACTCAGCATCAAAAATAAGATCCGGATTTTCAACTCCAATGCGAAGTCAGTCAGTGCTACCATACGGATCAGAGACTTGGCGCGTCATAAAGAGCATCTCAAACAAACTACAGACCTTCATTAACAGTTGTCTTCTCTCAACACTCAGGATCAGATGACTGGGCAGAAAAGATCAGCAACAGGGATCTCCGGGAGCGAACCAACCAGGAACCGATTGTGAAACAAATGGGCGGGAAGAAATGGAGATGGATTGGCCATACGCTGAGGAAACACCATCAAGTGACATTACTAGACAAGCCATTACTCCAGTGGAACCTGGCCGAAAGGGAAGCGGCGAGTTGGTGGTCAGTTCGAGGGTGACTTGGAGGAGGTCATGTGAAGAGGAGATGAAAACATGTTGGCAGACTTGGAGCGAGGTGAAAAGGTTGGCAGAAAACAGAAGGCAATGGGGATGCGCAGCTGAAACCCTATGTTCCTCTAGGAATTAAAGGATATAATAATAAGAATTTGTTTCACAATCGGTTCCTGGTTGGTTCTCTGATTGCTAGAGATTCCTGTTTCTGATCTTTTCTGGTCACCTGATCTTGAGTGTTGAGCAAAGACAACTGTAAATGAAGGTCTGTAGTTTGTTTTAGATGCTCTTAATGACGCACCAAAGAGCCTGACAATCTACACCTTCCTACATAGCTCAAACTAACTGTCATTGATTTCATGGACTAATTGCAGGTTTTTGTTTTGAACACTACTAGCTCTTTGCCAACCTAATCCTCTGTCCGGATAACATTCCATGGCAAGGATGGCGTTTACCAGGCATGCGTATCATATGTCCTAGGCATCTCAATCTATGTACCTTCACAACCTCATCACTGCTAAACTCTATTCACTTATTCATTGTTGACATCTTGCCTCATATGTTAAATATTGATGTTTTCATTGATAGTTTTTGTAAGAGAAGTACATGAACTCATATGTGTTTGTTGTTTTTTTGTTGTTGTGAGGATATACGAATTTCACACAAATCCACGTGTCTACTTATGGTTAATCATCAACTTGTTAATAAGACTTGTTAAAATTTAGAGTTCTACTTAACTTACTCTTACTATACATTCACTAAGTTATACTTGTGTTGAAAGAATATCTCAATCGATATATTTACTATGTAGAAATGATACTTTTTTCATCCATATAATAAACTAAACAAGTTTAGAATAAGGATCACAGTATTCCTAATGTCTTCATGAATTAATTCATATTTCTAATGTTTCAGTTACAAAGGTAACCTCAGAACAAAGGTCACACAATTTAAATAATATAACACTATTAAAATGGTTAAAGGATTCATTAAGCGTATTTTCATGTGTAATATAAAACATCCTATACAAATGAATGCAGAAATTTGAAATAATTGTGAGATTGAAGAATTGCTCAACAATCACAAAAGTGGAAAAAAGTTAAACAAATTCACAAAAATTAACAGCCAGGTAAAAGTAAGCATATACTAAAGCTATAATCTTCACATTTTTGTATAGAGTGTTTGAAGTGAATAATCCCAGTAGCGTCGATAATTCAGCGATAAAATACTTTCTAATAATACTTCACGTGGTTCAGGGTTCGATCCTTGGCCGACGCACTCACGAACCGGGCTAAGCCGGTAGTAATGCAAGTAAACAGGGAATGTTGGGGTGAGGCTAGCACCTCCACTCTGTAAAAGTAAAACTACTACTACTACCGAAACGTTAAAGCTGTGGTTTGAAGCCTTATGTTGCACTCAGAACGTAATAGAAACTTTCGGGTAATTCGATACTTGTAAATAGTGTAATTTACCAGTCAGTATTTATTTCACATTAAAATTTTGTGGCTATCGTTATGAAGGGGAGATATCACTGTACTGTGATGCAGGTGATTGGCTATTTAATTAGTGAGATTGAATAAGATGAATAATTTTTGTTTACTGATTGCATTTACATGTAATGTGTCTCTCTAGTTGGTAGTTGGCACCTATCACATCCGTTCCATCTGCTCTTGCAGATTCCCAACATTTCTATTCCACATCTCATTTCTGCGGCTACCTGGGCAGCCTTTCCAGTTTCGTACATTGTACGAGCATTCCACGTACCTATCCTTATTTTTCCTTTCATCGAAAGAAGGCACATCGGTTGACTGGCTTCCCGAAGGCTTTCACCAGCCTGCGTCATTTCACTTCCCTGATTCAAGTGAAAAATAGGGTTATTGTTTATATTTTTAGGATTTTTAATATATCTGTGTGTTGAATTTTCTGTAGCGATTTCGTTAAGTTTTAGGGGTGGAGTTGCTACTACCACGCCCCAACCCTCCCTATTTATCCTCTAGCGAGCTAGTAATCTGGGTGAAGTGAACATAGACAAGACGGAGGTTGTGTAAATAACCAACCAACAAGAACATCCACCAACAATCACCATCAACGGGAGGGATTTGAAAGAGGTTACTTCATTCACTTATCTAGGTGGGAGCATTGCCTCAACTACGGCAGGAACGGACGAGGATGTCAAATCGAGCGAGAATCGGGAAGGTGAGAAACACATTCATCAACCTGAAACCAATTTGGAAATCGTCGTCACTCAGCATCACCAACAAAATTCGGTAGGATTTTCAATACAAACAGCGTCAAGTCAGTCAGTTGTTCTATACGGATCAGAAACTTGGCAGGCGGGCGGGTCACAAAGAATATTTCCAACAGCCTGTTGCAGACCAGACCTTTATCAACAACTAACTGTCTTCGCTGGCTCTATACTGAAGATCAGATGGCCGGGCCGGAAAGAATCACCAACAAGAAACTATGGGAACTAACAAACAAAACAAGAACCAATCGCCCAACAAATATGCAGGAGAAAGTGGAGATGGATGGATTGGACACTCGCTGAGGAGGCCGCTGGGTGACATCGCGTGCGCGTCAGGCCATTGCTCTAGTGGAACCCGAAAGGGAAGCGGTGAGTGGGACTTCCAAGGGTGACATGGAGGAGATCGTGTGAAGAGGAGTTGAAAGAGTATAGACAAACATGGATGCAGGTGAAAAGTACAACAGAAGACAGGAGCAAGTGGAGACGTGCACTTGAAGCCCTATGTTCCACTAGGAACCCGAGGGAACAATAATAATAATAACATGTAATGTGACTAACTGAAAACTGTTCAGTTAAAACTGATATTCCTACATTATTTTCTACTAAACAGATGTCGCAGTACAGAACGTACATGTTTCACTCCACATAACTAATGAGTTATCACCTAAATAAAAGTACACTAATAGACAAAAATTAAACAGTAAGTGAAGAATATTCCGTTGGGTTTTCAGGCGCCTATAAAGCCTCCTACTAGTTATTTTAACGATGAATACCTACCCTTCCCCAGTTGTAAAGCCTATCAGTCAGAAAGCCTAATGATTTGTAGTAGAGATTTATTTAGTTCATTGGACAATAAAAAAAGACAATTCTCTTTTCAACGATTTCATTTTCATAACTGTATATGTATATGAATTACAACAGACAATAACGATCATTTGTGTGTGTGAGTGTGTGTTTACGTTTGACAGAGAATGAAAATACTAAAGTGCGATAATATTGGTGTATAGGATTGTGAGTTACAACCGATTAGATGTATGAATGAATAACTAAATAAAGAGAGGTCGACCTACAACAGCTCAATAGAAAGTGTGAAATAGATGATTAGAAAATAAAGTACATTCGGAAATGTAATATGTGAATACAATATGGTGGAGGCATGGAATGAGTGAAATGTTGTCAATATAGTATTAGGCTCGATAAAATGTTAGCATATGATAACATAAAGTGAAATGAAATAAAACAAAAATAGAACTTGGGATAAGAAAGGGTAGAAAAAATCAAGACAATGGTAACGAAAGAGATCATACAAACTGTTATGCATCACCAAAGCCTCTGCCACACAAAGCAAATGCATTCGTATCCCTTTCAGCAAACGTTGTCGGATTTTGTAGATTATATTGCAGGATGTGTCAGATGCTGCGTTGTCAGTATCTACTATATGTTCCAAAAGCGATGAATTAATACCTATACTTTCTCCCAGTTTGGCTCAGCCTTCTTTCATATATATAATCAATTATGATTCACAATCCTATACACCAATATTATCGCACTTTAATATTTCCACTCACTGTCAAACATTAACACACACACACACAAGAAAATGATCGCTATTGTCTGTTGTAACTCATGTATATATATGAAATCGTCGAAAAGAGAATTTTCTTTGCGAAATTCTTTATTTTTATGTCTTAATAAGGATTATTAATTTAATAAAATAGACTACAGTGATTTTGTCCCCGAAACTGGACATTCCAAAATGACACTAATCTCTTTTTAAACTGGAAAAATTTCAATATACATTTAGTACCCTTCTCTTTTCCTAAACATTTCAAGCTATAGAAAATATAAACGAATGAAAAGTCATTTCATTAAAATGTCCTTCCACATTCATTTTAATTTTTTTCCTTTCGCGATGTAGAGAAAATATAACCATTAAAAGGGGAATTCAAATTCGCAAAATTAAGGATGTTTGAAAGCAGTGAACAAATAATACTGTTCTTGTCATTTAGTTTATTACTGAGATTATTTGTTTGTCTGTAATAGGTTCACTCATTTTCCGTAGGATTGAAGATCTGACATACTGAGGTATGTAATTTAATAATTTCTGCCACATTAATATTTATTGACCGATAAATCAACAAAATAAAGTAGGCCGAACTATTTCCGCTTATATGGTTAAAATTACAAAATACAAAGTGCTAAAAGAATAGAAAAATAATAATTTAATATTCAAGTGTTGTTTTGTAGAGATCTGATTGGTTACAGGATTTCATCATGAGCTGAGAGAACCATTGGGAAACCTGAGAGTACTGGTCAGCTGTTTCGTCAGCCTAGTTTGGGACTCTTTATCAACAAGCACCCATCGGGGTTCGAACCCAGGATCTTGTGGTTACAGGGTGAGCTCGTAGACCATTAAGCCCCTGGGACCCGATCCAATGGCTATCCCATGAATTCTAACTTGTGCCAATTCACGATATAGCGCAACCGCTAGCCAATGTCTTCGGCGAGTATTTGTTCTCACAGCCGACCTGCTGCACCGTACTGGTCACAACTTCCCACTAGAACTTCAGGTAACTACCTACCTGACTATCAACCAAAGGGCGGGCGTACTGCTTATAAGTCCACTCCGTCCTCCTTTATGGCTGTGAGACCTGGCCATTGAGGGTGGAAGACATGAAAAGATTAGCTGTCTTTGATCATAGGTGCTTGCGTTCTATCTCCAGTGTGAAATGGCATAATAAGGTGAGCAATATTGAGGTTAGGCGTAGAGTGCTAGGTAGGTGGGAGGGGAAATCAATCGACGAAGTTGTGAAGTTACAAAGACTGAGATGGTTAGGATATGTGTTACGAATGAATGCCTAGTCATCGCCTTCCTCGACAATGGGCAATGTTAGGTGACATAGGATAGGTCAGGCTGGAAAAGAGATAGCGGCGGTCACACCAAAACATGTCTTTGTCAGTCAATGAAATCCACAACAGTTGGTCTAAGCCACGTAGGAAGGTGTAGACTTCCTGACTGGTTGGGGTCCTCGGGACGGTAAAAACCAATGGTTGGAAACAATTGGTGATATGGCTCAAAATCGTTCTCAGTGGCGCAGATGCACCCACTCCTTGTGACTTATGATTTCCAATGAAACTGTTTTGTTCTTCGTTATTACTCCTCCTTTGTCTCACCCCTCTGCTCACTGTTTCGATCATGCTTTTCTTATACTTTCTTCTCTTGCTTCGCGTGCTACACGGAGTGTGGCGACTTGAACTTCCGCACATTTGTGCAAAGTTCTATGTCGAAAACAGACAGACCGACCTGAATAGGGCCAGTCGCCAGTGAGCATCTCATTGATATTAAAGTGTTGGTTTGTAGGGATTTGATTTAATTCAATTTAATAATAATTTAGTAAAGCATTTGGAATATGTGGCAAGGTAAAACAATTACACAAATGATCATGAAATGTTCATCACTGTGTGATGAGGTTTCAACCATATGACTAAAAGTTTTCAGACCTGACGCTTACTGCCCTGAAGAGATCAAGCAATCAGTTAACATCTCTATGTGTCTCAAACAAATCACTGCATATACACGTTACCTTCATTTTATTTCCTTGGTCTTGTAACTTTTTTGAAAGATAATTCAGAGATCATTCCCCTTCCTCAGTATCAGTACACATAGAACTTCTACACAGGATAAAAACTGCATAAACCTTTATCGTTTTTTTTCCAACTCCTTTCTGAATAATAGTGCCATATTATGGAAGTGTAAGAATGAATATGGGCATCAAAAAAATGTTATTATTCTTGTCTGAAATGTTAAACTTCTTAATGTAATCCATACATAATACATAAGTAAACAAACAGTTGCATATATAAGTGAATTCATATTTTGATGTGTTTTATTTAAAAATATATTTATTTATATTTATAGAGTGTTATAATCGCTCAGAGAGATTTTGTCTCACAACTGAAAGAAATATTTACACAAAACAATAGATTACAACTTCATAGTGAAATACCAATACTCACTAATTCGCCTAATTGTTGTTTTCCTATGGAGTTAATAGAGGATTATGAAACTGCACTGAATTCCTTAATTATACATATGCAAGAAACCTATGTAAGTTTTGATTGAACTGTGTTTTCTTTTAACTTCTAAATATAATTTAAATTTGTTTGTATACTGATGTAATTCAACGTAATTAAATTCGTGTAGTCAGTTGACCAACTCACATTATTTTAAGTGTCATTCTATTGTTTGTCTCCAGTGTGAATGTTTTAAAGTTTTTTTTATGTTGTAATTATTGAAAATGGTACTTGTCAGATGACTTCTAACTTCTTTATCGTTATTATGAATAAAGCGATAACCTTATGATAGCCTCATTATCTGTTAAGTGAACTACAAATAGAAATTTGCAAATCACGCTGAAATTTTGTTTACACAACATTTGTCTTCTATCCTACTTCCACATAGTTAAAGAATATAAGCGGATGGAAGTTCATCCAACTAATACTGTTAAACATTCAATTAATGAAATCAAAACACATAGTTCACCGAAGAGTCTCTTTTCGGTGAATTCATTTTCTTAGCTGTAAAATCGCAGATATGTTTGAGTTATTTTATATGCATGTATACATTAAGTTTGCCAAACAAAAATACAATTGGTTATAGTTATTTCAACTAAACAGTGAAAATTAGTCAGTTTTGGGTAGAATTACGTAAAACAAAAACGGTCAGGAAAATTGGATGTTAATGAAAGTAGTGTAGTAACAAAGGTGATGAGTTGTCACAAACAGTTGTTAAAAAGGAGTTACATAATAATATAAATAGTTTAATGATTGAGTTATGCTCAGGATACACATTGGAACAAAGCAGAGAAGACGAAATCACGTAGCAGTTCTAAATGAATACAACAACTATAAGCACTTAAAGAAACAGACAAACGGACAAAATTAAATCATCATAAATCAAGAAAGTTGTTACCATCATAAAAGAAGTGGTTGAGTGATTCTCTTTTGTATGCACAGCTCCAGTATTTCTATGTGAATGGCCAGAGCTTAAGCGATACAAAGAAGACGAAACCGTATTGCCTTTGATAAGTTATTCTTGACTCTGTAGATTACTTTGAAGGAGGCGTTTGTTGAAATGAAATGATCAGTGTTAACCAGGTGTTCAATTACCGCACTACTTATTGCACCACTACTGCCTTTTCGGAACCATGCTGGCTGGATATTGTTCTTGAATCCTCTTGGGCAGGATGTGCGTCGAAAGGCCTATGCACCTGGTTCCACAGCAGGTGACTGATATATGCACACAGAAATGGTCAGATGCGGGATCTTGTCCTTGAGGCTTCTAAACATCAGTGGGCGACTGGAGAACACTATTCTTAGCGTTGCTGCAAAGAATGTTCTTCTTAGAGGTGATGTGATCCTTCTCTTGAGAATATCGCTTGCTAAATCTCCCTTGAAATCCAAGTTCATGTAAAGTTTCCTTTTCTGCACAAGTGAAGTTTCTTTTCTCCAAATTCTTGGTTTGATGATTTTGTCAATGAATCTTGGTGGGTATCCACTTTGGATCAAGACTTCTCTCAAAAGATCTAATTCTGTTTCTAGAACATCGGGACTACAGATGTGTTGGATTCGGGTGGCAAGCGATTTAAGTTTCGCTTTTGTTTAATGGGGTACCTAGATATAGAAGCTTGTTAGTTGACCACTGCAAGTAGCTTTTCTATGGATCGATCTTCTTAAGGCCCCATTAGTTCTTCTTGTTAGTTCCACATCAAGAAAGGGAATTTTGGATTCGTTTTCCATTTCAAGAGTGAATTTTATTGCTGGATGGCGACAGTTAAATGTCTTCAGCAGTATATTGAGGGTCCTTGTTGTTGTCACAAATAATGAATATGTCGCCTGCGTATCTTCTATACAGTCGTAAATTGTCAATGCTTGGCTTTAGTGGACATTTCTAGAGGCTTGCCGCGAAGCAATCTTATAGTAGGAGACTCAATAAAATTCCCATTACTTCTTTTAATCAACTTGCCCAGATTTATGTGTGGAATGCAAGGATAGTGATTGCATTTTAACGCTTCTATCAGAATGTTGTTTCTCAGAATAAGTATTGAAAACAAGGAAACATAAGGTAGCAGTTTGTTTTAAATTAAGGTTCTCAAATAGACTATGTTAAATTCTATATGGATTTAATTTTACAGTATACCACAAGTGTTGTTGAATCCAGTTATCAGTAGAATACTTTATTTGTAACATATGTTATTATTAATAAGCAAAGTGTTAAGAACTTTTTGTTACCAATGGTATCTTTAAATACTAGTTTATCATAAAAAGACCTATGAGTTGATTTAACCCAGTAGAACACTTAGCCATAAAAAAGCGATCACAATTTATCTCCTTCACAGCTAGTTTAATATTCTTTCCAAAAACAACTAATTTGTAGCTGAACTGTTTTGAATGTTAGTCATATTGTAGAACAGGCTGGTCTATGTTGATAAATGAAGGTAATTTGTAATCAAATTTTGATTTGATTGAACACAAATCTGTCTATTTTGGATAAAGCAATAAAAAGACGTAATTTGTCTGAATCGTGTAATGTATTTGCGCAACATATTTCGAACAATCTGATCACACATGGACTTATCATAGGAATTTTTATATATGAAGTTAATAAACAGTTAAGAGGTGAGAAAATAGACTTTTTAGGTCAAGTTAAAAGGACATATTGAAGGTTAAAATAACAATGAAGACCACTAAACCAAATAACAGAGGTAATAGTACATCTGCTATGGTATCAAAGCAAAATTTACCAAAGAAGGTATAATGTGATGACGAATTGTTTTTGAACGCGTAAAGGTGATTTAAACTTTCTAATTGCTAGTTTTGGCTTCCACAAGCTTTAGGATACGCCCCAAACACGTTTTATAGATAGGTTTAAAAGATCTGTTAACGTCAATTTTATGTCCTGTCTCTATCATAGGTTTCGCAATAGAGGAGCTAGGTTTTCTGTTCTCACCGTTAATGGGTTCTGAAGATTCCATTTGTTTCTGCAGACATTTAGGAAGCCCTGAAGCCCTTACTTGCAGAGATCGATGAGTCCTCCTCATGTATGTGTGCCTACACGTGCATTCAAATTGGTAAATACAGTGGGACGTGACATTATTTTTTGCATGTTCGAAGGGCTTAGATAGATATATTGGCTTCACATTCTCAATTATTATGATATTAGCTGCGTAAAAAGCCTTTTTAACATCAGCGTTCAATCTTTGTCTAGTTATCAAGCTGTTATGATGCCCCATATAGGGTAGCTTGAGGTACACGTCTTTCTTAGTGGAGAATTGTAGAGTGGGTCTTGGTGTTCTGACTACTTTATATCTCCTGATGAACTTGTCTGGATAATTGTTATCAACCAGAGTTTGTGTCAACTTTCTTTCTCCTTCATGAAGTATGTTTTCAACACATATTCGTTGGATTGTAATGAAGAGACACCTTACCAAAGCTCTTTTGTACCGAGCAATTTTTTGACAAGTTTGCTTCACTAAATCAGTTGCAGGTGTTGCTGTAGGCTTTTTTGTCATGTGATTACCTTAGACTTCTCTGTGTTTAACTCAACTGTATTTACTTAATCCATCAATGAAATGTCTCTATCGCAACTTTTTAAGTATCACTTATAGTATGTTTCTTATCTTAGCGATACTTTATTTTTTCTTTCTTCAAAATCGGTATAAAACAAATGAACAAATGAGTCATCCGCAAAAGCTGTAAAGGTTTGTATGTCTAATTATACTCATCATCTGCTAAAAATTCATCTTTCACTGTTAATCTTGCATAAATACCTGAGTACTTTGTTGATGTACAACAAGCACCTATCAATAACTTGGTTTTACAATAGTTCACTTTTCTATTGCAAAAATGTGATTGCATCATATACCAGATGATCACCTCAACATTCAATCACTTAGACTAAACAAAAATGGTCCCACAAAACAATTTTAACATAAATTACTGAATACATTCAACTACTAAGATTTGCAGGTATTTAAGAAATTTCGGAAAATCTGGTATCACTCAGTCTCTACTTTTACAAGGTTTTAAGTCTTGTGTTCTGCATATTCTTCTTTATTACTCCCCCTTTTATCTTTTTTTCTGGGCCACTTAACAAAAAACTTTATTGCAATGAGAAGGGCATCAAAAGCTGATAGTAAGGCGAATGGTGTGGTGTGCCTCATAAACCAACTTGCCAACATTGTTGTGTACAGACACTCGAAATAATGCAATAAATTGACAAAAATCATCTCGTCCGACTCTGAGCACCCGTTTTATTCACAACTCTCCACTTGCATATCACCAGGTAAGTTAAGAAGCAATAGTAAACAACTGTATGCTCACACCACTAAATACGGAACTCAACGATACTTTTTCAAGTGTTGGTTTGTAGCGATTCGATTGATTGGTTACAGGATTTCATCATGGGCTGACATTGGTTAGAGAACCATCGGAAAACCTGGGAGTACTGGACAACTGTTTCGTCAGCCTAGTTTGGGACTCTTTATCAGCAAGCACCCATCGGGGTTCGAACCCAGGATCTTGTGGTTACAAGGTGAGCTCGTAGACCATTAAGCCCCTGGGACCCGATCCAATGGCTATCCCATGAATTCTAACTTGTGCCAATTCACGATATAGCGCAACCGCTAGCCAATGTCTTCGGCGAGTATTTGTTCTCACAGCCGACCTGCTGCACCGTACTGGTCACAACTTCCCACTAGAACTTCAGATAACTGCCTACGTGAATAGGGCAAGTGGCCAGTGAGCATCTCATTGATATTCAAGTGTTGGTTTGTAGGGATTTGATTGGTTACAGGATTTCATCTTGGGCTGACATGGTCATTGGACCGGGTCCCAGTGGCTTAATGGTATACGAGCTGACCTTGTAATCAGAAGGTTCTGGGTTCGAATCCCGGTGGGTGCGTACTACTGAGGAGTCCCAAACGAGGAAGAAACAGCTGTCCAGTACTCCCAGGTTTTCCAATGGTTCTCTAACTAATGTCAGCTCATGATGAAATCCAGTAATCAACGATACCTTATTTGGCACTCAAATTATATCATGGTAAGAGTGTTTGGTGTGAACACATACAGCTTACTGACAATAATATATAAATTTTGCCCATTCTATTAATTTGCGAGTTTAATTTGACACCTATACTGTTACTGATATTATTATTGTGAAGGTTCTGTGAATTATTCGCCCCCCCCCCCACTTACTAATTAACGTAAGGAGAAAATAAGGTGCAACATTGTGCTACGTGCTGAAAATTCCAGACTGTATCAGATGAACTGTTTGGAATAAAGCCGTTATTATTATTATTATATACAGGCATTATTACTGTATTCTGATATTCCTTTTTTCCTTATAATTGTATATTTGAATAATTTGAGTTTAGATGAGAAGATTATCATCCAGTGTTACATCTCGTTTGGATGAATTAAATCAACTGTTAAATCATGCAAAACGCTTATTACAAAAATATGATAGCACTGAACTAGATATTTTATTACTGGATGCTTCTGTAAAACATCAGAATCAAAAAAGTTCAGTAAGTTTAACAAATGGAAATGTGACTTTTAAAAAAGGGGATTGTTTTTTTATTTTCACCATCTGTTAATTCTTATACACAAAGGTTGAATTTACTTATTATATAACTTATGTTGAATGGTTTTTAACTGGAAAACTGTTGAGAAATACTGTCTGTCTTTTAAATCAATGGCCACCCATGTAGCACGCGAAGCAAGAGAAGAAAGTATAAGAAAAGCATGATCGAAACAGTGAGCAGAGGGGTGAGACAAAGGAGGAGTAATAACGAAGAACAAAACAGTTTCATTGGAAATCATAAGTCACAAGGGTGGATACATCTGCGCCATTGAGAACGATTTTGAGCCATATCACCAATTGTTTCCAACCATTGGTTTTTACCGTCCCGAGGACCCCAACCAGTCAGGAAGTCTACACCTTCCTACGTGGCTTACTTTTAATGTTATTGCTGAGGTCAAATTCAAAGGTTACAAATGCTTTATTTTATATGGATAATTTATGGGACAATAATAATATGGGATACTCCCAAATACCCAGGTTTGAATTAGTGACACTTTAATACAAGTAAAAACGAAGTGTTTTTTTATGCAATTATTATCTTTCAAGCATTGGTTTTGTAGGAATTTTTGTTTGATTGCATAGAGGATTTCATCATGAGCTGACATTGGTTAGAGAACCACTGGAAAACCTGGGAGTACTGCTTTCTCTGCAGTTCATTTTAGTATCATATTTGCCAGTAAGCTATCTACTAAGTACAACAAGATTTTTAAAAGTTTATATTACCTTATTTATTTTAATCCTCTAACAATATCTATGCACTGAAAAAATTAATAAGCTTCTGATTTTTTTCGTCTTATCAAGCAATTTGTTGCTGCAATTCATGAACAGAAAGAAGAAAGCGTGCGAACCTTGTCTACTCTACAATCTGGCCTAGAAAACATGTTGCCTAATTTCATAAAACACTCAAATAATATTTTACAATCTGTCTGTCAATACAGCTACATCCTTCATGGGAATATTATGCAAGAATTTGGAAATTTACTTCAAAAATGTATTCAGGAGGTAAGTTATGCTAGTCTTCTTTAACTAGCTTTACTGATTATCATTAGAATAAAATGTATAACCTTTAATTTAGTATAAATTATTACAGTTTAAGGACTAGATTGATTTCAGTCTAAGGACTCGACTGCTCACTTGAAATCGTTTCATAGATTAATATGGAATTTAAAATCACAAATGCTCAAAGGCGTATACTGTCGACTGGATGACATTCCCATGTTTCCCCGGAATAGAATACAGAAAGCAAACTCATTCTTTCTGAGAAGACAAGGCCAATGAGAGAGAATGAGAGAAACCTAATTGATAAATAGAAGAAGCATGAAAACAATGGGCTGATCACTTCAAAGGAATCTTGGACCGACCACCGCCTGCAAACCATTTAGAAATAACATCACCAACCATAAAGCAGCAGTTGACACCAATCCTCCAACAAAAGCAGAGGTTTCGAATGCCATAAAACTTCTGGAGGCCACCAAAGCTGCAAGCACTGACAACGGATCCACAGACCTCAGCTGACATCCTGGTAGCATTGGTGAATAAAGTTTTAAAGAAGAGAGAAATGCTCACCGACTGGAAGAAAGACTATCTTGTTACACTACCGAAGAAGAACAACTTAGGCCTCTGCAAGAACTGGCGAGGAATCAAGTTAAATACTAAGTCGCAGCGTCCTGCAGAGAATAAAAGAGGTACTGGATGCAGAACTCCGACCAGAACAAGTAGGATTCAGGGAAAGCAAATCACGTGAGGATCAAATAGTAACTCTGGACGTCGTCATCGAACAAAGCATGGAATGGCAGTCAAACCTATACCTTAACTTCATCGACTTCAGAGATGCCTTCGACAGCTTTGGTTGCAAAGTACTTTGAAAACCACTTTGGCAATATGGCATGCCCCAAATCTCTATCAAGCTAATTTAGAAGTCGTATGACAATGGCATGTGTCAAGTGATGCACAACGGAAAATTCGGTGAGGTGTTTGAAGTGAAGACAAGAGTAAGACCCTTGACTTATCGTTATTCGGCAGGTCACCAACTGTTTTCCCTAATTCAACCAACAGTTTATTACTATGATAAGTTACCTTATGACCAATCATTACTGAAAATTAAAGGATACAAAACCAATGTTTTGGCTTTCGAAGAAAAGGGAATTCAATGTTTATTTGGAAATGCAAACCCCTGAATTTTGTCAGTAGCTACCCACACTTCACACCAGGGATCAGATGGCCAGAAAGAATTAGAGTTAGGATCTCTGATAACGAGCCAAACGATAGTCTATTGCCCAACTAATATACCGAAGAAAACGGAGAGGAGTCGGACACACGTTAAGGAGACGATTGAATGACATTTTGCGTCAATCCTTCAAGAGGAAGAGCAATGTGATACGATTGGTTTGGTAAAGATCTGAGAATGATATGAAGGAGATGGACAGTCATGGAATGAACTAAAAAGGGACCTTGGAGAGCAGGATAAAATGAAGAGTTGCTGGTGAAGCCGTATGATCCACTCGGAAGCCAAAGGAATGGTAATAATGACTCAACTTACTGAAACAATAAGGGACTAATGAAACAGCTACTGTTTGGTCAACTTTCCGCACATCAGAATGACTTTTTTCATACAAAATAAATTACTTAGGATTGCAACAAAAATTTTCACTATTCAATAAATTTTAAAATTATATTTCGTTTCTATAAAAAGAACACCATATCAAAAAAAGGAAAAGAAAATAATATGGAAATCTGGATAAACACTTCAACAGGAAATCATTTTCTGCTGCCTGGATTTCCAATCATTTTAAAAACAAATCGTGTGAATCTCATAAACAATTTGTGTGTCCAAACGTGTGAACTTTTGGTTGGAAATGAATCTAAAACATTAGGCTAGCAAATTTCTTTTGGTTACTGGTCTTTACCTGTGTGGTAACAATTAAAAGCTTTGTTTACCCTACGTTAGAAAGATAGAATATGTAATTACGGTGAACTCCTGGGTCAAAATCTGTCAAAGAGTCATTAAAAGCTATGGATTATTAAACACTAATTTTGTCTTAATTTACTACATTCTGTCTTTGTTCATTGAAAAACGAGCTTCTATCTAGACTTTTGGTGCATTTCTGAAATATTGGGATGAAACAACTAACCAGCTATTCATGATTTTAAATGCTGATAGTTTTTGACCCAATCTAACTCCAGTTAATCCTGAATCACAGAGATCAAACAAAGTGGAAAGTCAGATGGCAACAGGATTCGAAACTGTGACCATAGAGATGCTAACTCATCTGTTTATCTACCAGTCGATAAGAGCAACGAAGTAATCATTTCATCGCTATTATCCGGCATTATACCATGAGTATAGATTAGTTCTACCTTAGATATGCTCTCTAGTAAATTTTAATCTCAGAAACACCAGACTTTATTCTCTTTTCACGGCAGCTCACAATACCTGTTATTTTCTGTCTTCATGATCCAAGTGAATGAAAGAAGCTGGAAAAAAGCCTATTCTTTTTCTCACTTTAGCTTAATTACATCACAAGATTATTAAAAAAACCCTGTAAATATTTCCCTTTGGAGACAAGATTATACAGATGAGATTAGAGTAACAAGGTTGTTTAATTCCATAGAAGTTCAACGCCTACGTTGAAGTCATTTTTTTCGAAGTGTATTGTTTTACTTAAGCTTTTTCCAGATAATTTAATAATTTAATGCATTAAATATTTCATAAAACTTAAATATCAAAAGTGCACAGTGATATGTAGTTCATTGTCATAACCATCCTATAGACTATACGTGTATGCACTCAATGAAGCACTGGTTCTAAACCGTAACTTTGTGCTCATTGGTTATCTTATGTGAGGATAGACTAATTTATTGAGAGCTTTACCATATGTTTTATCTCTATTCTCTTCTTGTCAAAGCAAGATTTTGAGCGAACAGTTGTTTTCAATAACTTCTTCTTCAGTCTCTACAGTTATAAATCCGTGATTAATAGACTACATATAGCCAATAAAGGCAAATGAAAATAATATCAGAAAATGTATTGGGGTGCATGTGTAAGTTGTTGAGATGATAGTGCACTAGTTAGTATAGCCAATTAAATGTATAGTCAGAAAAATGTGATGAAGGGTGAATGAACAATTGGGTAATATTAGTGTTGTTTTATAGTCAACAGAATACAAGTGTCCTTGAGGTGAGAGAAATGCGATAACCACAAAATACATACAAATACACATTGACAAAAGAGGCACTGGATGTGAGGGCTGACCGATAATGTCTAATGATAAAATAAAGAGTCTAAATTGTAAATTGTTATAAGATGTTACAGAATTGGTAGGCTTAGTATAAAATCATAAAGAGTGACAAAAATTAAGGGTAACAATGAGGTGAAATAAACTGGGTGGAGAAATGGATAATAAAGACATGATATCACAAAATGATAATAATGATAATAATAGTACGAAAAATTATGATCCTGGTGACCTTGTAGTGGGCCAGAGTAGACAAAGAGAGTGAATAAGTTTTTTCTGTACACATAGGTGTGGTCTCTCTCCAGCTATGGCTAGGAGGCGTAATCTTGTCAAAGGTAGATCATTCACTGGAAGTTTTATTCTGAAACAATGTCTCACCCTTTATCGATATCAAAAACAGAATTGTAATCTTATGTGAGATTTGTACGAGAAATTTTGTTTTTTAAATTCTTACATAAATGGAGTCAACTTATTTCTAAGTTGTAATCAGTCAGTCAAGCAATCACTCCATTATAGTGTGTGTACTCAATGATTTTTATAATCATCTAGTACCTGAATCAATATTCGTGTCTCACACGTGTTCATGTATTCAGAAGTGTTTCAATGACTAATATTTTTAAAATAACCACGTTGTTTTGTACAATCATAAAGATTAAAATAGAATAATCATACCATTCACGTATTTATATCTTAGCGATTATAGAGATTTGCAGTCAACTCACACATTAAAAAAAAGAAAAAGATTAAACAGGTAAAGCTATCATTTCTCCTGAACTTCTTATAGAATAGTCTTTCTAGTCCGTGTTACATATTCTTGTTATCAAACTTTACGATGACCAAATAATTTCACTGAGGCAAACAACAAGAATGAGTTTCTTAGAAGACCAACTGTGATTCCACAACTGAAAGACTAACTGCTTAGACTAGCCATCTTTTCTTGTATCTGTCAATTCAGCTGCTCCTGTGGAGTCAGTTATATTTTCAGCTGCTTTAGGAACTTAGGTTTTCATGCTCGGGAACACATATTAGCGTAGCTAAATAAAGATGTAGTAAAAATCGTCAACTGTTCAATATTAGGTCATTCAGTCCAGATAGATCGTAAAGACAGTATTGAGGGATCTTTCCCTATCGTCTATCGAGAAGTGAATAGATTGTCAAAAGCCTCTTGGTGCTGAATACTCAAAACAGTAAAGGACACTGCAATCCACCTAAAACAACCAGAAATCTGGGTGGAAAAGAAACATGTGCAGCTATCACTGCTACAGTGGCATGCTGTATCATTTATGAATTCATGAATTTCGTACTATTTTTCTTAACTTATCTGATATTCAGTTTAATCTTGTATGCATACGTATTATCACTACCAGATGCTTTTCAGTTGTAATCTATTGATCTTAATAATTCGATATTGTTGAAAAACATCAATGTTATCAATACCTTGATGAACAAGTTGTCGAAAGGGATATATATTCTTTGCTCACAGATCAGTCTTTTGAAAATTTTGATGAGACTTTTGAATTAATTAAAACATCTTAGAAGATTATAAGATTTAATAGTGTGAAATATTCCCAACTCTTGAATTAAAAGTCAATCTGAACGAAGAATATTCCCAACAGGACCTATTTTCGCAGACATATATCTGGCAAAACTAGAAAATAGTTCGCTGAAATATGAAATAGCAAGAATGGAAATGTATTGTCGTTACATGGATGAAGGGTTACGTAGTGATTAGATTTTGAGAAACTGCAATGATGCTCACCCAGCAGT